ATGCGACGTCAACCGCCACCAGGAGAGGTGGGAGGGGCGAAACCTTGAAGTCATTTCCACTGAACTCCGTTGAACAGGCCAAGAGGCGGGCAAAAACCGAGTAATTCTAACCAAGGGCCGCAATGCGTCATGCCACCAGCGCGCAGGCCCGACACGACGGAATGTAAAGGAGTTTCTTATTTCCCGCTTCACGGGCCAATCCGCCGTACGGAAAAAGATGGCGGCTGTACATTTTACTACAACTCCTTTTTAACCTAACCCGGCCAATTACACATAACGTCATATTTTTTTTTTTTTTTTCGAGGGGGGGCGAAATTTGTCCCTGTAATAGCAACATTGCCTATCCTAGGTTTGAAGTTTATTAAACTTTTCTGTGCGTTTTTATGAGCAATTTTATGGTTTTCATGCGCTTAGAACTGTTGGTAAATGTACCGGTCGCCATTTTTTTAGGTACGATGGATTGTGTATGCAGTGAGAATAGTTTCAGTTTTAGAATGGCTTTTCTGAATCTCAAACCAATCATGTTGAACGAAGTGCTAGTAGACCTTATTCACGATACCCGCCATATTTGCACGCGCTTTAGGATTGATGGGATAAAAGCAATGTACCGTGGTATTTCATCAAGGGGGCAAACAAAAGATAATTAGAGGATATTACACGGTGGCGCGAAGATATGAATTTTATTTTCGAGTAGCAAAAACAATATTTTACTCACTCGCTGCGCTCGTTTGTAAAATATTGTTTTGCCACTCGAAAATAAAATTCATATCTTCGCGCCACCGCATAATATTCTTTTTATTATATAGACAAAAAGACATCGATAAAATAATAAAGGGAAATGACCGAAATTACGTCATCGATAAACTCACGCGTGAGATTATGGAAAATAAACCAGTCGGGTCCCGGATGTAGTTGTTATAAATTTTACGAGTGGTATATTTTCCAGTAAAACACTCGTGTCTATATAATAAAATTTGCCAAAAACGAAACGATGATTTAATGGTCACGCAAAATGTACAGTTTGAGTTTCGACAAAATTAACGTCATTATTGTTTGCTGTGAGGACATCTACGGTCGCTGCTGAATCCAAAAAAAGTAAAAATGATCACTTCCACCCATAATTTACCATTATTGTCTTTAATATAAAAAGTTGTTTATTTTCTGTGGTCAAGAATAAACAAACTCGACCGCGATTTCTTGTATTGGAAAAATTTGTCACTTGTTTGCCTCCTGAGAAACCACGTGACATCGCTTTTATCCCATCAGTCCTTAAGTGCGTTCAAAGATCGCGGGCATCGTGAATAAGGTCTATTGCGGTAAAACCAAAATGGTGGCCGTTTGCTACTTATAAACGGAAATTAGGCAGGAGAAGGAGTTGATTGAAAGACTTCTTAAAAAAATATGACGAGGAGCTCACGGCCAAAAAGTTAACTGAAAAGTATCTTCAAAACTCTGGGGAAAATTGTTCCGCGGGCTGCGGACACGCCAACGTCTCACCATGAAGAGAGTCCAAAATAAAACGGAAAGAAGAAAACTGTCGTCATGTATGACACATCGACTCACCAAATGTGCAAAACTAAGCTCCAGGCTTTCACCTCGCACATTGTGCAAAACTTTGCACGGTTCAAGTGTTTGCACGACTACGCGTAAAAATGGAACCATACCGGTCAAAAGTTTTGGCCTACTTCTGAACAGTTCAAAACCTTGCACACTTTACCGGTCAAAAACTTGTGCGGTGAAGAAATATCAAAAGGAAGGGCAACTTCAGTCGAACTTCCATGTGCGACCACCTCTTGTAAGCGGCCACCTCCCATAAGCGACCGCTTCTCCAAGCTACCAGACTTATCCAAGACAAAGCCTTACAGTTAAAAACCCCTATAAGCTACCGCGACCACTTTAGGGAATGACAGTTATAACATATAGATTTAGCCAGGGCTAAAAGCAAAGCTCTCGATAATATTTATAGTTTGTTCAAAGAAAATATAAAATCGTGTAATGCTGAACGGCGAAGGCCTCTACAAAACTTTCATGTTGTTCTCCTAACAAAAAAAATGTCCCCAATGTTTTTTTTTTTATCTCTCGCTCTAGATCTCTGTCACCCTTTCCCTCACTGAGCTTCGCTGGTCTGCCGCCTACTTTCTCTTTTTCGCTTTTTATCTCTTGCTCTATATTCCAAATTTGTGGACATGACAATTAATCTAAGCTTAATACTTTTGACAACACGGATACAGAAACAATTTCCGCTTTCCGTTTTCGTCTTTATTGACTCTTTAGTTGACTCTGCTTTACAATACGCGGGTGGGTATACGATTTCCGGCCGAAATAACCTCGAGGTTGTATTTGGGTTGCCCTAACTGTTGATTGAGTTATTTTACATTGGCATGCCTGTGGTTCGGACGGTCGTTCGGTCGGTGTACGGCCACGTGATTACCAAATTTTCTGGGATGGATAGATTTTCTTACCCATGGTGCTCCGCTGCGTGCGCGAGAGCTCCGCTATAATTTTCTATTGTTTTTGACCTCTTCTTCCTCTAAGCGACCACTTGGTATATGGTCTGATCTCTATTTTCGTTGTATGTACTATGCTGCTCAGTGTATACATGGTATACGTAAAACTTTTAGCGGTAACATGGAACTACACATATCGTAAATTATCTTCCGTAAATTTAAGTAGATGAGTATGGACCTCTTCTCGTAAGAGACCCCTTTGTGGCTCGATTCTTGTAAGCAATCACCTCCCGCAAACGACCACCAAGTCTTCGCTTTTTGGGTGATCGCTTACGAGACGGTTTGACTGTATTCATTTTTCTGTTACTTTCTCCAGGTACTTGTTTGTTATCTCCTGCCTTGAAATGCAATTGCATTTCTTTCAGCGAGTGGCTGGTGAGAGACTTGGCATGAGGGAGAAACAACAAAGCCACACACGAACTTCACGGTCTCGTTAATCACTAAATAGCATTAAATCCGTTTTATAAGAAAATAAGTCTCGCCCTGGGGCTAAACTCCAGCTAAAAAAGTACTTGAGACTTTTCGTTTTTATAGTAACTGAAGACAGATATAAGTTCTTCCAAAAAAGTAGTGTTAGCTTATAGCAAAAATCACTACCAAATACAGTTTTAAAAGCTTGCGGGTCCATTGTTTCCTGTAAAGCCTCCTCTTTTACCACATTGAACATTGCCCGATACATTTTTGACTGTGTTGTGTGCGTACAACGAACATCACAGTTCTCATACTGTAATTGCAACAATAATATTGTTCGATATTTGTCCCGCGAGTCCGCACCATTTTAAAATCGCCCGGCTAAAGTTGGAATAAACTTCCATCCTATATCATATCAGGACCCCTAGAGCCACAACGGACAATTCGGTACAGTGTTTCTAATTGACAGCTTGAGAAATCACAGGCACAGGCAGCCCCCGGCCAGATGTACTTCTCAGTTGATCGTGACATCGAACGAACAGCCCAAGACAGAGCCAGCTGGTGACGCCTTTCAGTCGACTGTTGATGATGAATTCCTGGAGTGTAGTCAGTATTCCTTGTCATTTGAAAGCCAAACAAAAGAAGATTTGTCATAGGCGGAGTGATTGTCGACCGAATATAAAAAAGATTAGATATGGTAAAATTAAAGTCATGTGAAAATCACAGACCATAGATGTTTGCCAGCATTCCTCTTCGCAGCATACACGAGGCTTTTGTTTTGTCACTCCAAGCCTCAAGTTGCTTCTAGGAATTGCGGGAAAATCTAACCACGCGCGCTTTCCTCAATAGTTCCAGATAATTCAGTAAATTATTCCTCACAACAATTGTTACCACTAAAAGCCAGAAGGTCATTTTATAAATTTTTAAGAAAGAATTATTCTTTGACATCGAGAAGATCGTTCAGCGTCGAACAACCTATTTCCTGCACCCAGAATACGACACTATCAAGCTCAACTAATTTACGGTAATCCTTTCTTGTAACCATATTTTCGTTCAGAGGAGTTTATACGAATATGGATGTCTTGCATGTGCGTCATTTCAAAGTCTAAGGAAGATGGATTTCCGTTCTCGTTTTTCACGCGCGCTCGCCTTTCGCTCGCTCTACTGTCCCTGGGGAAAAATATGGACTACTCGTCAGTCTATCACGCTTTTGGTCGGAGTAGAGCACGCATGCGTTATGTCATCGGAGAGACGAGCCGGGCAACTTACTCTAGAGCCGCGGCTCCTGTTGAAAAAATAAATGTCTTCGCGCAAGCAATTGTTTTCTTTTTCTTATAATGTGCCGAACTTAACGCGACAGTTAAATACATGTGAAGTGCGACGTTTGAATCAATTAAATTCGACTGTTTAAATCATGTTAAATGCGACTTTCGCAGTATCTGCGACTGAAACAGTCAAAGATTCGATTTAGCTTCTACTTTTGATTCAAACGTCGCATTTCACATGTGCCGAACTTAATGTGCTTAATGCATGAATTATACTAAATTATTATGATTCATTTAGAGAGACTGGGAAGATTGACAGCGAACAGAGTTAAATTCGACGTTTGAATACTGAAATGCCGTATTTATTAACTATTTTAGTCGACTAAAATAGGAATTAAGTTCGGAACATGTGAAATTCGACGTTTGAACTGGACCTTAGAAATCTTGTGATTCGACAAACGTGTCTTGCAGTACCATCATATGATACCATCATATGTGGAAGCAAAAAGAAATCCTTCGAGGCAAAGGTTGTCAAGCTAAGGTTTCCAGAGAACCCAAGCAAACTGGTCCACAACTCTTTTATTTTGCGCGGCGTTACACTCGTGACGGGTATCACGTGACATGTAGGAGGGTCATCCGGTATTTTTACCTTGACCGAGCAATTAAACAACCCAGTCCTTTAGAAAAAGACATTCCGTGACAATATGTCACTTTTTTTCTATTGCTCTCATCCCAAATAGAAGTTGACTCACTAATCTTTTTTAGCAGGTGGCCAAGCGAAGTTGGTTTGCTATCTATCGAATATTTTCCCTGAGAGATGGCGCGTGTTTTCAGCACAAGTCATTTTCTACTGCTGTTTTGGCAAACGTTTTTTACATATGTCAGTGCTTCCGTTCAGGATTCATTATGCACCGCGGATAAAATAGAAAGGCTGAACTGTAGCTGCAATATTACATGCAGCCAGCTGAAAACATCCAGCTTTACTACACTTTCACCCAAATCTTATTTCGAGGTAAGTGTAATTGTCGAATTGCCAATTGTATCTGCTTGCTGGATAAAATTTTCGGGATTTTGCGATGGTTTGCCTACCATAGGGTAGGGCTGTCATATAAAATATGATCTTCATTTACTTAGCGTGCAAATAGGCTGCTCGAGGAGCTTCATTTTGTATTCACTGGTGATTTTATAATCTACGACACTAAACGACCCAGGGAAAGTTCCCTTTGTTTTCATTGTTTTACTGTGATTATTGAATTGGAAGCTCTTAAGGCGTGATTTTTTTTATAACAAAACCATAGCCTCCTTTCGGCATCTCTTCCGTGACGAAGGCCCAAGAATAGGGTAGTTTTTTGGTAAAACTGACATTGTTGCCCAGAAACGCTGGTTTATTTATGTTACTTAAACCAGTTTTCATCATGGAAAGGAAAAGCCTGTGGCGCGTGCTTGCTTACCATGCGTTAAATCAAAAAACCCGGACGGAAGGTTAACAGGAAGGTCGAGTTGGGGAGATTCCGACCGAATTTCGAGTATTAAGTTTTGGTGTATCCTTTCACTCTTGTTTTATTAGTACAGTGTAGGTTATGATAAAGGTACCATTGGTATAGTTTGAAGAAATTATGAGTAGCGACAAGACACTGACAAGAGGATGATCCTTAAAAACGAAAGGAAGTGCCCAGCATAGCAGGCACTCGAAAGGGACTGGGGAAGGAACGCGAAGAATGAGGTTGAATTACGCTCAGGCACACACCAAGTTTTGGCCAAGCGATCTATCGCGGCGATCTTAAGCGGACAATAGGCGACTATAAACAGTCTAGGACGAATCTGAAGTCAACGGAACATTTTATTTTATTCTTTGTTTTTATAGTTTCAATCTACGAAAGCTGCTTTGAATAAAAGACAAGTGCGTGATCACATCATGAGTAAGTTTTATGTCAGCGTCAGGGTTCAAAGTTTAATCACGGTATCCTTTGAAACTTTAAACTGAAACACGTGAAAGATCATCATATCTTTACCACAGGACTCCCACACTATCTGTTTGTGTAAGCGATGTAATTTTATGTTTGTACTGTATTCACCGTTTGCTTCATCTGTAGCGGTATATAGCTACATATGTGCATGTATCAAAGCTAAATAAACGTTGTGTTACCTTACCTTAGGTAAATTGTCGTCCTTTTGCTTGAGGAATGGTATTTTGAGTGATTTTGAAGGATTTTGGGTTGTTGGTTGTTTACTGTAAACAAACAGATTGTGTGGGTGCCCTGTGTGCGCACGCAACTTGAGCACTTATGAAAAGTAAGCGCGATAAGGTCGATCTTACCCACAGGAGGCCCCACACAAATTGCGTGACTGTTGTAATGTATTCAATTTAAAGCAAATGTATGGGAATAATCAAAAAGGTTCATATTATGGTGATATAATGCGATGAGTTCTAATGTCGAAATAGACATCTTTTCACTTGAAATGTTGTGTATTGTTCTTGCAGCTGGAAACGGCGAATTAAAACGATTTGAAGGGTTTTACATTCGCCTTTTACCAGAATGATAGTAGAGAGACAAGTTGTCTTTTTGGACCCTGTATATTTATATTCATAACATTATATCACAAAAATATGAACAATTTCGATAATTGAATCTTACCCCAGGGCGCCAGAGACTTTTGGGTGCGGTTTCCGGTTTCGGTCACATGTGTGACCTGTACTAAGGGACGGACCAGTAGAAAAGTTATGGGGAGGGGAATTTTCGAGCTGCAGGAATTTTTTTTCGTTATCAAATTCCTTGTATGAATTTTTTTCAGGCCCTTGCATGAATATTTCTTAGGGTTTATTGGCGTGCAAGAATTTTTTTCATTTAATTTTCCCTTGCGCGAATTTTTTTTTTGTACTTCGCCCGCCCCCCCCCCCCCCCATAAGTTTTTGAATGGTCCGTCCCTAAAAGCTTCTGGACCATAGTCTGCGAGTGATACAGCCGTCTCTCCTCTAGCCTGTTCCAGGAGTTCAGATAGAAGAGCGTGGCGGTAAGTGGGGAGCGACTTGTACACCGGGAAAACGGGGAAGGGGGTTACGGGAAGGGGGGGAGGCGAGAGCGAGAGAAGTTCTCTCCCCCTTTCCCCCTCTAGTCTCCCCTCGTTTTTTTTTTTTCGTGAATTTTTCTCCCGCGCTCTACTATCCGAACGCCTGGAACAGGCTATCCCTTCTCGCTCCGCCGGCTATCTGAACCGTAGCGCTATTATTGTGTTGATTGTCTCGAGCCCGGGGCATAGCTTCCTCGTATAAAACTTCCGATGATTTCCGGCTAGCCGACATGTTATTCAAGAATGACCAACAACATTTTTGTCGTAACATTAAAGATACATAATCAATAAAAGGGTATGAGAATTAATAAATAATCACTATGAAGAGATACTTTGATCTTTCATAAAAACTCTCTCAACTAAGTCTTAAGCCGGCAATTTATTGCGATCGTCTGAACAAAACTCGGGTGATAGAGACGACCCGGATGCAGTTACAAAAGTCTAATCAAACGGAGACGAATGAAAAGAGGGCATAATTTCACGCGCGTTTTGTCCAAATTCTGATAATCTCCCTCACCTTTTAATGCAAGTGAAATTCTTCCTTGATTTCACGAGTTCAGAATAAATATTAGTATCAAGGGTGACAAATTATGCTCACAATCGTTTTTTTTACTTGCTTATAGGGAAAGTTTAGAGCATAAATTTTGGCTTTAGTTAACGATTTTCTGAATTTTTTGACAAAATGCCTGTTAGGATCATTGATGTGCTCTTTCGCGTGTTCGGGTTTTCTAAAGCGTCTGTTAACGCGCTAACATCTTCAAGAACATTTTATAACTTCGACGCTATCTTGCTGGTAGGTCTTGGCACTGAGTCGTAAGGAATGTTGCCATGGGAATTCTATAATTTCACATGTGAAAATGAATTAACGCTGAAATTTTGCGTAAAAATTAAGGAGTAGTTTGTTCAAGTGACTCGACAGTTGAAACGTTAATTGGGCCTGGGGCATGGATGGGAAAATAATAGATCATTTTACAGTTGTATTTGTGGTCTTTGATTGATTGATTGATTGATTGATTGACTCTGGCATTCGAGTGAATGCGAGGCTGAAGTTGACCTCATTTTGATACAAACCTCCTTTGTTTTCTAATGGAAATTATGCTTGAAAAATATTAGTTAGCTTTAGAACAATGTAATTGCGGGCGACAAGAGGAGCCGCTAATCCCTAGGTTGTTATTACGCATGCGTCGCATGTGGCATTCGTTTGGACTTCCACTAAGAATGAATAGAATGCACAAAACGCAATTTGATCACGCTACGTGAAAATTAACTTTGCAAGACATGAACACGACACCGAAAGAACCAAAAACAGAGCGGGGTCGAAGCCGTAGACTGCTATTTCGCCCTTTTTGGGCTCGTCAGCACGGCGCAACGAAGAGAGAGGCTCTGCCGTAAAATTCCCTCACACTCTGTTTAAGAGCTCTAGCATTGAACTTAAACACTCACTGAACCACGCCATATTACGGGTCCCCGAGAGGGCAAGAGTCCAAGTGTCACGTTGATGTCTCACAAAGAAAATATAGGATGGACAAAACCAACCTAGCTTGGAAACATGGGCAAAACCATGCAAAAATGGACCGCAAACGAATATGCCGCAAAACGTAGGATCTGTAAAAGACCTGACCTGCAAAAATATACACTGAGTAATTCTGCAAAGCTGAGCGTACTACATGAAAATTAGCTTTGGAAGACATCAACACGACACTGAAAGAACCAAAAACAGAGCGGGGTGCTAGCCGTAGACAGCTGTTTCGCCCTTTTTGGGGCTCCTCAGCAGGGCGCCTACGTTTTGCGACATATTCGTTTGCGGTCCTTTGCAGTTTAAATGTCAATTTATTACTTATTTTTTGGGGCCGTAGGTCTTTTATAGATCCGATATGGTGTTCATTTTTCATGGTTTTGCCCATGTTTCCAATGTTGGTTTTGTCCATCCTACATTTTCTTTGTGAGACATCAACGTGACACTTGGAATTTTGCCCTCTCGGGAACACGTGATATGACGTGGTTCTGTGAGTGTTTGAGTTCAATGCTAGAGCTCTAAAACAGAGTGTGCGGGAATTTTACGTCAGGGCCTCTCTCTTCGTTGCGCCGTACTGGGGAACCCCAAAAAGGGCGAAACAACAGCTAAGACTCCGCCCGTTTTTGGTTCTTTCGGTGTCGTGTTGATGTCTTGCAAAGTTAATTTTCACTTAATACGATCAGCTTTGCAGAATTCAGTGTGTCTACTCAGTGTATATTTTTGCTGGTCAGATCTTTTATAGATCCTACTTTTTGCGGCATATTCGTTCGCGGTCCTTTGCAGTTTAAAATGTCAATTTGATCACGCACGTTTCGACCTTCTACCCCTCGTAATCACGCGTGTTTCGACCATCTGTCACGTGAAACTTACGCAAAGCACAGCGTTGGAGCAAACGCGTTTGGACCTTCGATCATCTTCGCGCGTGCTCCCTAACCTTTGGTTATTAGTAGTTTACATAAGAAAGCAGGACTCAAAACGTGGTCAGCTCTAGCCTCGTTTCCATGTATAACTGTAAAATGAGCTATTCCATCCATTGACTGCCCTCAGGCCTAAAGACAGTTTACAATTTTTTACCTATATCCTCTGTGTAAATACCCCCAAAGTTTATTAAATTATGTATTATTACCTTTAGTGGATGGCTTCAATGGTGAAATGCTTTTAGATGTAGAAAAGCGCGCCACAGATTCTTTGCGTCCACTTAACATAAGCATATCCCCGCCAGAGAGGAATGTATCAGGGAGATTTTTTAACTTCCACGACTACAAACCAACCTTTAAACTAGACGCTAGCGAGAAAGGAAGGGTTACTCTGACTGGAGGTCCTCTTATGGCTCCTTATATTATGGACCAATTTCACTTTCACGTTTACTGCACAAGAGAAGAGGCTGAAGAAAATACGTTGGATCGCGTTCAAGTTCCCGGCGAGGTAAGCGAGAAAATGTCGGTATTCTTTGGCTAAAAAGAGGAAAACATAGAGTAAGAAGGGGCTCAAGGGGGAACCTTGGGTCGTTGTTGTTTAAGTTCTATACAAAGATTAAACGTTGAATGAGTAGCCTGTGCGTAATGAAATCATGCTGCCATCTTGGTTATTGTTAAAAATTCAGATTTATGCATTGTGTAGAAGCTTAGGTCTGAAATATGTTGTCATTAAACTTGTTGCTACTTTTGAACAACAGAGTGAAGCAAGGCTGATTTGACAGTTGGGAATACATTTTTTTTTCACCAAGGACACCTTGAAGAAGTAAGGCCGTGCCTTTCGAAATATTGGCAAAAAATAATATGTCCCAGCTGTCAAATCAGCCTTGCCTCATTCTGTTGTTCATGTATTTTATAGCTAGTTAGATCCTCTAGTAGGATCCTGTTCGTCTTCTATTTTCTAACGTTGGTCCTTGCTTCCAAAGCTAGACTTACTGCTTTTGGTAGTATTTTTTGCGTTTATTACACAGGAAGTGTAGAGAACTCTCGTTTTTGATATTGTCGGAGGAATAAATGAGGATCTGGCTACAAATAATGTTGAAAAATACAGGAAAATGCCATGGGGAGAAGTAGAGTCTTTACTGTTAGTGTAGGAAGGAAGCATGACTATTCGGATCAATTTAGGCTAAATGAAATTCGTCTTCTAAGATAGTTGTATCCAAACTTTGGTCATGTTTCAGTTACACCTTGTGTTCTTTCGAGAGAACTATCAGACTTACAACGAAGCAGTGCAAAGATTTCGTGACGGACTCGCCGTGGTTTCAATATATTTTGTGGTAAGCATTACATGGATGTTTACAGTAGGAGTAAAATTTTAAACTCGTGGAAATGCTGTAAACACTCGCCAATCTGACGCAATTTGCATGAAAACTGGGCCGAGTTACTTTTCGCAAAGACTTCTGGGACTGCTACCGGAAATAAATATCCCGGAATCAATTGCGGGACACATTTGTGTCCAGTTCTCCTTTCTATGGGGCGAACCTCTAAGCAGGGTAACTAACAGATTATGCTTGTATTACGCTCATCTGGAGGCCTGAGTCATGCTACTTATTTTAGCGGAATACATGACACTTTTCCCTTCGCTATTACTAAATTAACGCTGATGAAAATAGCCAGTATTAATATCAAAGCTATATAACGACGCTGCATCTTGAAAAGGCTTTAGGTTTATGAAAGAGTGGGAATTTCACTAGTTAAAGTAGTTAAAGATCGAAGGAGTATCCGTTCGCAGGGTCGAATGTCACGTACTAAAACCAAATATACAAAACAACGTAGCACTCGGGAACAACTTGGGAAATCGGGAAAGCGTTATAATTAAAAGAAAAACAGAAAACCTATCCGTAATCTGTTTCTGTTATTTATAGTGCTTGCGGTTTAAAAAAATTGTTATCACAAGGTTGCTATTAAGTTCTGATGTTCAATGTTTAGTTGAGAAGAACTTAAAACATCAACGCCCACTTCACTTCCTTTAAGTCTTACTTAGCGGTCGAAGAAGACGATTTGTTCTAGCGCCAAACGTTTTCATTCCTACAGAACGCGAAGTGAACTTTTAAAACAGAAACCGTTCCGTTATAAGCTCAGTTTTTTTTACTTCCAGGTACAAGGCGAAGAGAACACTAACACTGAGATAGCAACGTTTGAGAACCTCATTGACTATATTTCACAGGACGAAAGTTAGTGGCAATGTATTTAGTAAATTGGAATCGCCTGTCCCCTTACACATTTAACAACAAGTTTGCTCCTTCGGTAGTTGGAAAATAAACAAAATACATGTCTTTGTTTCCGGGTTCTTTGGGCGATGATTCAACATCACGCATTCGTCACCGAGAGTAGAAAAGGTCTGAAGCCGCGGCTTCTTCTTCTTCAACATGGGCCGAGTTGTGCGATAATTCTGGGCTAGCTGCAGACATAGACTATCAGTTCTCATGGTAACAAACAAATCGTCTTTCCAACAAAGAATGTCGCGTTGACTCTGCATAATCAGATCATCATAAGATAACGTTTCACTCTGTGATTACTTTCGTAGATCGTACAGTGTCCACCACTGCTGCCGTCGAGCAGTTGTCGGCTCCACTGAGTAAAAGGAATGCGCCCTATCAGGCATACAGAGGCAATTTGGTTGAGCCAATTAAATGCAAGAATTGCGTCGACGTCTTTGTTATGGAAGAAAGATTTACCGTTTCTGTTAAGCAGGTAATAATTTGACTGGCAATTTTACTGTTACTATACTAGAAATAATCAAAGAATACAAAGTGTGTCTAAAAAAACTTGAGCCCACGTTCGAGAAATGCCAAGTTCCCAGCCAACGGGAGCTGGAACGTAAGGGAATGCTTTTGAACTCGCCTCGGCAGTAAACTGTGGGGTGGATTATCAAAATTGAGATTTCTTGCCTTGGGCTATGCTGTGCTGACGTGCCCTAATGGGTACTAAGCAGCTGTCCATGGCTGCCCGGGCGATGTTGCTCCGCGTGCACGCGTAAGGTTCTGGCCATTCAGTGGAGTTGGTAGTGTGTGCTTCAGAGCTGAAATTGATATTAATTTCTCTCCCTTGGCAAGTTGCTGACGATGTTATTTGTCCCTGCAAACTCAGCCATTTCAATTGCTTTCCAAGCTCCGTTCAATCAACGACGATTGTCCCATATTCATTTAAATCAGTATTAGTTAGCGTTCTACCAAAAACGCAATTAACGAATGCTGTACATGTTAGTCAAATGGGCAGATCCATCTGTCTGAGAGATGTCTGACAGTACTATAGAGGTAGGGATGTAGGATTTGTACTTATTTTGGCGATACGTGAGAACCACTACCACTACCACTACAAACTGCTACTTCCGACTGCCACTACTACCACATCCGTTGCCACTACCCAGAACTAATTATTCTACCACTACCATGGATCAATTAAAACTGCCCAACTACCACTCCCCTCAGCCAATATTACCACTTACTTCTCACTTAGGGCAACATGTTGGCTTAGGGGAGGAGTAGGCGGTCAGCATCCCAGAAACCTAATTGATCCACTAACGCTACTCTCTGCCACCTCTGCTTAACAAGTGCGGCCACTAAAACGGGTCTCAGCGTCCGAGAAAACACGGTAACGGTAACGATAACGGTAACGGTCATTAGAGGCGAGCGAAATTTTACAACAGCTGTTCTCCTTGCGTCCGCTTGTTTTGTTATCATTTGTGTTCTAAACTATTTGTTTCTGATTCATTGCCCTCTTTGCAATGTATTTTGTATCTTAACTTGCTAAAATGATCATTTTTATGAATGTAAAATGTTCTGTCTCTTCCCAACAAATTGTCATCACATTACACCTTTACCTACCCATAAGGGCCATAGCTCTCCGCAACTGTCCTTTTATCCTGTAGAGGCTGTACGCAAAGGGGGGTACGCCCTATAATGACCTGTACGGCGAGGCTCCACCCGAAAGGGGTATCTTTTTCAGGCTGCAGGTATATGAAATGGTAGGGATTTCACTAATTAAAGTATATGAAAGGGTACAAAAATCTGTCATCTCGGTATGTAAAAAGGACCAAACGGGCTAACATATGCATTTTAGAGCTGTAAAGAGACTAGGAAACGTTCTGCTTTTGTGATTTATTCATATTTAAAGGCCAACAGTGCATTTGCAGCGGTTGTAAAGTTCTAAAATATGAGGTTTGTGAAACGGGTACCATTTGTCAATAGACGTTACAGTATACAGCTAGGGGCACTTTTCCTATCAAAATGGAATATAGAAGGGTAAGGGGTTAGACATCGCGGTGGAGCCTCCCTGTATAAAAGTTTAAGTTTGCTATGTACGAACACCCCCCCCCCCACCCCCACCCCTCCGGGAGGTAGTATAAAGAAGTTCAACTATGCTTTCCTCTTTTTTCACCAGATCATGGAGTTCAGGAAAGCCCCACACTGCGTCCAAAATGACTGGTCGTTTTAAAAATGATTTAAAGAACACAATACAATAAAGCCCGCGAGTAAGAACCTGCATTTTCCAACAAAGCCTAGACAGGTTCTTAACCATTTAAACCCTAATGTCAAAACTGTGATTCTCATTTACCGTCCCCATACTTTTTCAATAGAAGTAGGAGGGAGAAGTTGAAATATCAACTAGATTCTTCTTCCCTGATCATTTACTCAATTCTCATGACCACTCTGTTTTCTAAAGCATTGATATTATAAGGAGAAATTTCATGTTGATCACTCTTAGGGCTTAAAGGGTTAAATAAATGGCAATCTGCACAAGTTAGGTCCTTTAATAGGTTCCTATTTTATGAAGATAAAAATACATCGTAGGTAAGAGTATTTAGTGGTATTCAGCGTTTGTATAAAATTTGCATACATTACATTGCATTTGGAATGATAAGGCACCTTTGTTTTCAAAGAGGATCCTGAATGTTGATTTATCTTATTTGCTCAAGTGTACAGAATTTTTTAAAAGTAGAATTTAGAAAATAAGAACTTGTTGCAAATTTTAGGCTAAACAGGTTCTTGTATAGAGGGGGCCTATCTGGCAAATTTTAGCCTAACATGTTCTTGTTCACGGGTTGCTACGTAACTGTACTTGAGATGGGCAACCGTAGTTTTGTATTCACCGGCCGCGTTCCTGAACTAAGGGCATGCTTGCCATCTGCTAAGACTGGGTGTATCTGGAACATTCGCTTGCACCTTAAAGACTCTCATCCTTGAAATGTTCTTGTTCAAAGAAGCGTGATTCAGAATTAACACTTTCCGTGATTTATAAAGTCATTTTTTCTAAGAAGCTTTCTAATATTATGATGGTTTTTTTACGGTTCTATTTTCTAGTTCTATTGTCACCTAACAGTTAAAAGTCAGTTTTCATTTAATATATGAGAGTGTACGCTACAGAAACATTAGCCTGATAATAAAATCCAACATCAGTATTAGTACACATTTTTTTTTTGTTTTCTTGTTTTCTTTTGCGTTCAGCTGGAGATAAATAAGTCAGGGGATAAATTAAGGGAACTCAAAAACCTGTAAAGCATTTTTTCAAAATTAAAAGTTGATCTTAGTAATGTAATGTTCTCTTGGTATTCTAACCTTGCTTCTGAAAGGGCGTTTAACCTTTGCTTTCATGAATGGCTATAAACAAGGAACCCTCAAGTTTGCACAAGATTGCAAAAACCTCGATGAAGATGATGATTCTGTGTTTGACAAATCACATATATAGAGTCATATTTCTCTGGCTGGATTCATTTGCAACGTTTTCGCACAGTCGTCGTTCACTGTAATTGTCTTTTATAAAGCTTGAAAACAATAATACATTCTACCGGGCAAATGCGAGGACTATGTGCTTTGTTACAAATGAGTCCTGCCACCATCATACCAATAAACTGTAGCATAGTTACGTAAGTTTAGTTTGTTCGCTTGCCGTGTGCAATAGCCCGCGTTCAAAACATGAATTCGAGGATTTCTGGTCATTTTTCTATATTTGGTTTGGTATAGAGTGTTTTCACATGACGTCACGGCGGCCATATTGGTGTCCCAAAACAATGAAACGGCGGCCATGTTGGTGTCCCAAACCAATCCTGTGGGAGTTGAACTCCTTTCTCATGCAAACGCTTTCTTTTGTTCCAATAAATTTGCATAGATGCTGGCCACGTGAGTGAAAACACTCTATTCTTTGCGCTCAGGCATGTGGTTTTAGTGTGAAAAAGAGGTTGGTCAATTTCTTCGCAGAGCCATTTCACTCAATAGCCCGCGTTCGATATATTAAAATCTAAGAGGACTCTGAAGCTATATGGACAAAAGTGAAAATGTTTCACGAAGCCACTGTCCCACAATCCCGTTTGATTCTTTGCATAAACGATACGAAGATATAAAAGATCATATATATAGTACTATGAAAACAATAAAAGATGAAAATTCCCCTTATTAAAATCGTCGCTCTTATGTAGCCACTACTAATTTACAACCCCTTGAATATTAGAACCCCTTGATGTAAGACCCATGGATGTAAAGGATCTTTACCAGCAGCTAAAAACCGGACAAATACAAAAAATCTCCTTATATCAATCGTCGCTCTTATGTGGCGCAAAGGACTACTAATTTACACCCCTAAATAGAAGAATACCGGGCTGTAAAACCCCTGGATATGTAAAACTCCTGTCAAGGAACGTAGCGTAAGACCCCCAAAATATAAGACCACTAGCTGTAAGACCCATAAGACGTAATACTCGTATAAGACCCCTGGACATAAGACCACTGGACGCAAGACCCCTGGGTGTAAGAAATCTCGACGTAAGACCCATGCAAGTAACACCCTAGGGAGTAAGACCCCTCGTAAAAGACGCATCGACGTAACACCCCTGGATAAAAAACATTCACGTAAAACCCAGAGATGTAAAAACTGAGCCGGCGGAGCAGATTTTAAAGTGAAGGGGGACGGAGTGGTATACTTCTTTTCCAACTTTAGTTTATTTACAAACATAAACTTTTTTTTAAGTCAATATCGTCAACCCGCTGAAAAAAAATCTTAACCTGCTGCTGTTGTTAAACCCCAGGATGTGACACTCCTAGCTAAAAGACCCCAGACTTTAAGACAACTGGTTGTAACAGCAATGGCTGTAAGACCCTATAATGTAGGGCCCCCTGGTTGTAGCAAGCCTGGTTCTAAAACCATAGTTGTAAGACCATGGAATGTAAGGACCCTGATTGTGGCACCCCTGGTTGTAAGACCCCTAGTTGTAACACAGTTGTTTGTAAGACCCCTGGATGTAAAAACCCTACATGTAAGACACCTGCTTGTAAGACCCCTAGTTGTAAGACCCCTAAATGAAAGACCCCTGGTTCTAAAGACCCCTGGTAGTAAGAACCACCGGTTGTAGAAACCCCTGGTTGTAAGAATACTGGTTGCAATAACCCCTAGTTGAAAGACTCCTGGTTGTAATAACCCTAGTTGAAAGAACCCCTGGTTGAAACAACCCCTTGTTGTAAGACACCTGGTTGTAAGAACCCCTGATTGTAAGACCCCGAGTTGTAAGAACTCCTGGTTGTAAGACCCCTGGTTGTAAGAAACCCTGGTTGTAAGACCCCTGGTTGTAAGTACCCCTGGTTGTAAGACCCCTGGTTGTAAGAACCACTGGTTCTAATTTTGCGTTTTTCGTAAACAGTTGTTTTTATAGTCTTTAAAGGCTTCTGTTTTTATCTAGAACGTCAGCAAACACTTTTTCTCGATCTATTTTTGATAAATACAAAAGATGAAAAAACTTCAACTTTTTGACCAAAATTATGGACTATCCCCTTTGCAAAAATGCCAATTTTGCCTTCTTTTTAAATCCATGTTTATATTGTCTAGAAAGGCTTGTTTTTTAATGAGAACGTCACCAAATACTTTTTCTGGGTGTATTTTGCATAAAACGAAACGTTTACAAAATTTCCAATTTTTGACCAAAACCATGGACTAACCCCTTTGCAAAAATGCCAATTTTGTGGGTTTTTGAAACCGATGTTTTTTTTGTTCAGAAAGGCTTGTTTGCTATATAAAAAGTCAAAAATCGTTTTTTCACGGTCTATTTTCACGATCTATGACATGGGAATACCGAGGGTTAAAAGGGGTTACAAGGGGTTACAGGGGGTTACAAGGGGTTACAGGAAGTTACAAGGGGTTACAAGGGGTTACAAGGGGTTACAGGGGGTTACAGGGGGTTACATGGGGTTACAAGGGGTGACAGAAGGTGAAAAGGGGTTACAGGGGGATGCAAAGGATTAGAGAAACCTTTTGTTTTAACTAGATCGTTCCGAGATACTTTTTCTTGGGCTATTTTGCATAAAAATCAAAGTTGAAGAAATCTCTAATTTTTTTATCAAAACGATGGACTAACCCCTTTGGAAAAATTCTAATTTTGCGTTTTTCCAAAACAGTTGTTTTTATAGTCTTTAAAGGATTCTTTTTTTATCTAGAACGTCAGCAAACACTTTTTCTCGATTTATTTTTAATAAATACAAAGGATGAAAAAACTTCAACTTTTTGACCAAAATCATGGACTATCCCCTTTGCAAAAATGCCAATTTTGTCTTCTTTTTAAATGCATGTTTATATTGTCTAGAAAGACTTGTTTTCTAACGAGAACGTCACCAAATACTTTTTCTGGGTGTATTTAGCATAAAACGAAACGTTCACAAAATTTCCAATTTTTGACCAAAACCATGGACTAACCCCTTTGCAAAAATGCCAATTTTGTGGGTTTTTGAAACCGATGTTTTTTTTGTTCAGAAAGGCTTGTTTGCTATATAAAAAGTCAAAAATCGTTTTTTCACGGTCTATTTTCACCATCTAGGACATGGGAATACAGGGGGTTTCAAGGGGTTACAGAAGGTTACAAGGGGTTACAAGGGGTTAAAAGGGGTTACAGCGGGTTACAAGGGGTGACACGGGCTGACAAGGGATTACAGGCGGTTGCAAAGGATTATAGAAACCTTTTTTTTTAACTAGATCGTTCCCAGATACTTTTTCTTGGTCTATTTTGAATAAAAATGAACGTTGAAGAAATCTCTAATTTTTGATCAAAACGATGGACTAACCTGTTTGGAAAAAATTCTAATTTTGCGTTTTTCATAAACAGTTGTTTTTATAGTACTTTAAAGGCTTCTTTTTTTATCTAGAACTTTAGCAAACACTTTTTCTGGATCTATGTTTGATAAATACAAAAGATGAAAAAACTTCAACTTTTTGACGAAAATCATGGACTCTCCCCTTTGCAAAAATGCCAATTTTGCCTTCTTTTTAAATCCATGTTTATATTGCCTAGAAAGGCTTGTTTTCTAACGAGAACCTCACCAAATACATTTTCTGGGTGTATTTTGCATAAAACGAAACGTTCGCAAAATTTCAAATTTTTGCCCAAAACCATGGACTAACCCCTTTGCAAAAATGCCAATTTTGTGAGTTTTTGAAACCGATGTTTTTTTTGTTCAGAAAGGCTTGTTTGCTATATAAAACGTCGAAAATAGTTTTTTGAGGATGTATTTTCACGATCTACGACATTGGAATACAAGGGGTTACAAGGGGTTAAAGGGTGTTACAAGGGGTTACAAGGGGTTACAAGGGGTTACAAGGGGTTACAGGGGGTTACAAGGGGTTACAGGGGGTTACAAGCGGTTAGAAGGGGAGACAGGGGGTGACAAGGGGTTACAGGGGGTTGCAAAGGATTATAGAAACCTTTCTTTTTAACTAGAACGTTCCCAGATACTTTTTCTTGGTCTATTTTGAATAATAATCAAAGTTGTGGAAATCTCTAATTTTTGATCAAAACGATGGACTAACCCCTTTGGAAAAATTCTAATTTTGCGTTTTTCGAACACAGTTGTTTTTATAGTCTTTAAAGGCTTCTTTTTTATCTAAAACGTCAGCAAACACTTTTTCTCGATCTATTTTTGACAAATACAAAAGATGAAAAAACTTCAAAACGTTTTTGACCAAAATCATGGACTATCAAATTTTTGCAAAACGAAAATGCAAAAATGCCAATTTTGCCATCTTTTAAATCCATGTTTATATTGTCTAGAAAGACTTGTTTTCTAACGAGAACGTCGAAAAATACTTTTCCGGGTGTATTTTGCATAAAACGAAACGTTTAAAAATTTCAAATTTTTAACCAAAAACAATGGACAAACCCCGTTAAAAAAAATGCCAATATTGCCTTTTTTTAAATCCATACTTTTTTATATTGCATAAAAATCAAAAAGGCTTAATTTTTTCAAAACGAGAACGTCACTTTGGAAAATACTTTTTCTGTTTTTCGTAAACAGTTGTTTTATTTTTACAGGCTTCTTTTAAAACGAAACGTTTACAAAACTTTTTTCAAATTTTTTTAAATACAAAAGATGAAAAAACAATGGACCAAAACCCTGTCCCTTTGCAAAAATGCCAATTTTGCCTTCTTTTTAAATCCATGTTTATATTGTCTAAAAAGGCTTGTTTTCTAACGAGAACGTCACCAAATACTTTTTCTGGGTGTATTTTGCATAAAACGAAACGTTCACAAAATTTCCAATTTTTGAAAAAAACCATGGACTAACCCCTTTGCAAAAATGCTAATTTTGTGGGTTTTTGAAACCGATGTTTTTTTTGTTCAGAAAGGATTGTTTGCAATATAAAACGTCGAAAAACGTTTTTTCACGATCTATTTTCACGATCTATGACACGGGAATACAGGGGGTTACAAGGGGTTACAGGGTGTTACAAAGGGTTACAAGGGGTTACAAGGGGTTACAGGCGGTCACAAGGGGTTACAGGGGGTTACAAGGGGTTACAAGGGGTTAAAAGGGGATACAGGGGGTTACAAGGGGTTACAACGGGAGACAGGGGGTGACAAGGGGTTACAGTGGGTTGCAAAGGATTATAGAAACCTTTCTTTTTAACTAGAACGTTCCCAGATACTTTTTCTTGGTCTATTTTGAATAAAAATCAAAGTTGAAGAAATCTCTAATTTTTGATCAAAACGATGGACTAACCCCTTTGGAAAAATTCTAATTTTGCGTTTTTCGTAAACAGTTGTTTTTATAGTCTTTAAAGGCTTCTTTTTTATCTAAAACGTCAGCAAACACTTTTTCTCGATCTATTTTTGATAAATACAAAAAAAAAAAAACTTCAACTTTTTGACCAAAATCATGGACTATCCCCTTTGCAAAAATGCCAATTTTGCCTTTGTTTTTAAATCCATGTTTATATTGTCTAGAAAGGCTTGTTTTCTAACGAGAACGTCACCAAATACTTTTCCTGGGTGTATTTTGCATAAAACGAAACGTTCACAAAATTTTAAATTTTTGGCCAAAACCATGGACTAACCCCTTTGCAAAAATGCCAATTTTGTGGGTTTTTGAAACCGATGTTTGTTTTTATTTCAGAAAGGCTTGTTTGCTATATAAAACGTCGAAAATCGTTTTTTCATAAACGGTTTATTTTCACGATCTATGACATGGGAATAACAGGGGGTTACAATTTTGGGTTTTTATGTTTTTTTTTTGTTCAGGGGTTACTATAAAACGGGGTTTTTCACGGTCTATTTTACAACAAGGGTTACAGGGGTTACAAAGGGGTTACAAGGGGTTCCAATTGGGTGACATGGGGTGACAGGGGGTTACAGGGGTTGCAAAGGATTATAGAAACCTTTCTTTTTAACTAGAACGTTCCCAGATACTTTTTCTTGGTCTATTTTGCATAAAAATCAAAGTTGAAGAAATCTCTAATTTTTGATCAAAAACGATGGACTAACCCGTTTGGAAAAATTCTAATTTTGCGTTTTTCGTAAACAGTTGTTTTTATAGTCTTTTAAGGCTTCTTTTTTTATCTAGAACGTCAGCAAACACTTTTTCTCGATCTATTTTTGATAAATACAAAAGATGAAAAAACTTCAACTTTTTGACCAAAATCATGGATTATCCCCTTTGCAAAAATGCCAATTTTGCCTTCTTTTAAATCCAAGTTTATATTGTCTAAAAAGACTTGTTTTCTAACGAGAACGTCATCAAATACTTTTTGTGTGTGTATTTTGCATAAAACGAAACGTTTACAAAATTTCCAATTTTTGACCAAAACCATGGACTAACCCCTTTGCAAAAGTGCCAATTTTGTGAGTTTTTGAAACCGATGTTTTTTTTGTTCAGAAAGGCTTGTTTGCTATATAAAACGTCGAAAATCGTTTTTTCACGGTCTATTTTCACGATCTATGACATGAGAATAAAGGAGGTTACAAGGGGTTACAGGGGGTTACAAGGGGTTACAAGGGGGTTACAGGGGTTAAAAGGGGTTACAAGGGGTTACAGGGGGGTTACAAGGGGTTACAAGGGTTACAAGGGGTGACAGGGCTGACAAGGGGTTACAGGGGTTGCAAAGGATTATAGAAACCTTTCTTTTTAACTAGAACGTTCCCAGATACTTTTTCTTGGTCTATTTTGCATAAAAATCAAAGTTGAAGAGATCTCTAATTTTTGATCAAAACGATGGACTAACCCTTTTTTGAAAAATTCTAATTTTGCGTTTTTCGTAAACAGTTGTTTTTATAGTCTTTAAAGGCTTCTTTTTTTATCTAAAACGTCAGCAAACACTTTTCTCGATCTATTTTTGATAAATACAAAAGATGAAAAACTTCAACTTTTTGACCAAAAATCATGGACTGTCCCCTTTGCAAAAATGCCAATTTTGCCTTCTTTTTAAATTCATGTTTATATTGTCTAGAAAGGTTTGTTTTCTAACGAGAACGTCACCAAATACTTTTTCTGGGTGTATTTTGCATAAAACGAAACGTTTACAAAATTTCCAATTTTTGACCAAAACCATGGACTAACCCCTTTGCAAAAATGCCAATTTTGGGTTTTTGAAACCGATGTTTATATTTTTTTTGTTCAGAAAGGCTTGTTTGCTATATAAAAAAACGTCGAAAATCGTTTTTTTCACGGTCTATTTTCACGATCTATGACATGAGAATAAACCGGGGGTTACAAGGGGTTATGACAGGGGGTTACAAGGGGTTACAAGGGGTTACAGGGGGTTACAAGGGGTTACAAGGGGGGGTTACAAGGGGTTACAATGGGGGTTACAAGGGTGACAGGGGTGAAAAGGGGTTACAGGGGTTGCAAAGGATTATAGAAACCTTTCTTTTTAACTAGAACGTTCCCAGATACTTTTTCTTGGTCTATTTTGCATAAAAATCAAAGTTGAAGGAATCTCTTATTTTTGATCAAAACGATGGACTAACCCGTTTGGAAAAATTTTAATTTTGCGTTTTTCCTAAACAGTTGTTTTTATAGTCTTTAAAGGCTTCTTTTTTTATCTAGAACGTCAGCAAACACTTTTTTTCGATCTATTTTTGATAAATACAAAAAATGAAAAAACTTCAACTTTTTGACCAAAATCATGGACTGTCCCTTTGCAAAAATGCCAATTTTGCCTTTTTCTGGGTGTATTTTTTAAATCCATTTTTATATTGTCTAGAAAGGCTTGCTTTTTCTAACGAGAACGTCACAAAATACTTTTTCTGGGTGTATTTTTTGCATAAAACGAAACGTTCAAAAAAAATTTCAAATGTTTTTGACCAAAACCATGGACTAACCCCCTTTGTAAAAAAATGCCAATTTTGTGGGTTTTGAAACCGATGTTTTTTTTTTTGTTCAGAAAGGCTTGTTTGCTATATAAAACGTCGAAAATCGTTTTTCACGATCTATTTTCACGATCTATGACATGGGAATACAGGGGGGTTACAAAGGGGTTACAGGGGGTTACAAAGGGGGGTTTAGGGGGGTTACAAGGGGTTACAAGGGGTTACAAAGGGGTTACAAAGGGTGACAGGGGGTGACAAAGGGTTACAGGGGGTTGCAAAGGATTATAGAAACCTTTTTTTTAACTAGATCGTTCCGAGATACTTTTTCTTGGGCTATTTTGCATAAAAATCAAAGTTGAAGAAATCTCTAATTTTTTGATCAAAACGATGGACTAACCCGTTTGGAAAAATTCTAATTTTGCGTTTTTCGTAAACAGTTGTTTTTATAGTCTTTAAAGGCTTCTTTTTTTTTTATCTAAAACGTCAGCAAACACTTTTTTCTCGATCTATTTTTGATAAATAAAAAAAAAAAAAGAAAAAAAAAATTTTTCATTGTCTAGAAAGGCTTGTTTTCTAACGAGAACGTCACCAAATACTTTTCTGGGTGTATTTTGCTTAAAACGAAAGGTTCACAAAATTTCAATTTTTGACCAAAACCAAAATCTGGGACTTTCATTTTGCCTTCTTTTTAAATCCATGTTTATTTTCTAACGAAAACGTCACAAAATACTTTTTCTGGGTGTATTTTGCATAAAACGAAAGGTTCACAAAATTTCCAATTTTGACCAAAACAAAAACCCCAATTTTGCCAATTTTTCTTTTTAAATCCATGTTTATATTGTCTAAAAAGGCTTGTTTTCTAACGAGAACGTCACCAAATACTTTTTCTGGGTGTATTTTGCATAAAACGAAACGTTTACAAAATTTCCAATTTTTGACCAAAACCATGGACTAACCCCTTTGCAAAAATGCCAATTTTGTGGGTTTTGAAACCGATGTTTTTTTGTTCAGAAAGGCTTGTTTGCTATATAAAACGTCGAAAATCGTTTTTTCACGGTCTATTTTCACGATCTATGACATGGAATATGGGGTTACAAAGGGGTTAAAACGAAAAAGGGGTTACAAGGGGTTACAAGGGGTTACAAAAACAGGGGTTTAAGGGGGTTACAAGGGGTGACAGGGGTGACAAGGGGGGTTACAGGGGTTGCAAAGGATTATAGAAACCTTTCTTTTTAACTAGAACGTTCCCAGATACTTTTTCTTGGTCTATTTTGCATAAAAATCAAAGTTGAAGAAATCTCTAATTTTTGATCAAAACGATGGACTAACCAGTTTGGAAAAATTCTAATTTTGCGTTTTTCGTAAACAGTTGTTTCTGTAGTCTTTAAAGGCTTCTTTTTTATGTAAAACGTCAGCAAACACTTTTTCTCGATCTATTTTTGATAAATACAAAAGAATAAAAAAACTTCAACTTTTTGACCAAAATCATGGACTATCCCCTTTTCAAAAATGCCAATTTTGCCTTCTTTTTAAATCCATGTTTATATTGTCTAAAAAGGCTTGTTTTCTAACGAGAACGTCACCAAATACTTTTTCTGGGTGTATTTTGCATAAAACGAAACGTTTACAAAATTTCCAATTTTTGACCAAAACCATGGACTAACCCCTTTGCAAAAATGCCAATTTTGTGGGTTTTTGAAACCGATGTTTTTTTTGTTCAGAAAGGCTTGTTTGCTATATAAAACGTCGAAAATCGTTTTTTTTCACGGTCTATTTTCACGATCTATGACATGGGAATACAGGGGTTACAAGCCTTTTTACCATGTTTTATTGTTCAGAGGGGGGTTTACAAGGGGTTACAAAGGGGTTACAAGGGGTTACAGGGGGTTACAAGGGTTACAAGGGGTGACAGGGGGTGAAAAAGGGGTTTTGGGGGTTGCAAAGGATTATAGAAACCTTTTTTTTAACTAGAACGTTCCCAGATACTTTTTCTTGGTCTATTTTGCATAAAAATCAAAGTTGAAGAAATCTCTAATTTTTGATCAAAACGATGGACTAACCCCTTTGGAAAAATTCTAATTTTGCGTTTTTCGTAAACAGTTGTTTTTATAGTCTTTAAAGGCTTCTTTTTTATCCAAAACGTCAGCAAACACTTTTTCTCGATCTATTTTTTATAAATACAAAAGATGAAAAAACTTCAACTTTTTGACCAAAATCATGGACTGTCCCCTTTGCAAAAATGCCACTTTTGCCTTCTTTTTAAATCCATGTTTATATTGTCTAGAAAGGCTTGTTTTCTAACGAGAACGTCACCAAATACTTTTTCTGGGTGTATTTTGCATAAAAGGAAACGTTTACAAAATTTCAAATTTTTGACCAAAACCATGGACTAACCCCTTTGCAAAAATGCCAATTTTGTGGGTTTTTGAAACCGATGTTTTTTTTGTTCAGAAAGGCTTGTTTGCTATATAAAACGTCGAAAATCGTTTTTTCACGGTCTATTTTCACGATCTATGACATGGGAATACAGGGGGTTACAAGGGGTTACAGGGGTTAAAGGGGTACAAGGGGTTCCAAGTGGTTAGAGGGGGTTACAAGGGGTTACAAGGGGTGACAAGGGGTGACAAGGGGTTACAGGGGGTTGCAAAGGATTATAGAAACCTTTTTTTTAACTAGAACGTTCCCAGATACTTTTTCTTGGTCTATTTTGCATAAAAATCAAAGTTGAAGAAATCTCTAATTTTTGATCAAAACGATGGACTAACCCATTTGGAAAAATTCTAATTTTGCGTTTTTCGTAAACAGTTGTTTTTATAGTCTTTAAAGGCTTCTTTTTTATCTAAAACGTCAGCAAACACTTTTTCCCGATCTATTTTTTGATAAATACAAAAGATGAAAAAAACTTCAACTTTTTGACCAAAATCATGGACTGTCCCCTTTGCAAAAATGCCAATTTTGCCTTAAAACGAAAGGTTTTTTAAATCCATGTTTATATTGTCTAGAAAGGCTTGTTTTCTAACGAGAACGTCACCAAATACTTTTTCTGGGTGTATTTTGCATAAAACGAAACGTTCACAAAATTTCAAATTTTTTGACCAAAACCATGGACTAACCCCTTTGCAAAAATGCCAATTTTGGGTTTTTGAAACCGATGTTTTTTTTTGTTCAGAAAGGCTTGTTTGCTATATAAAACGTCGAAAATCGTTTTTTTTTCACGGTCTATTTTCACGATCTATGACATGGGAATACAGGGGGTTAAGGGGTTACAGGGGGTTAAGGGGTTACAAGGGGTTACAAGGGGTTACAAGGGGTACAAGGGGAAGGGGTTACAAGGGGTTACAAGGGGTTACAAGGGGTGACAGGGGGTGACAAGGGGTTACAGGGGTTGCAAAGGATTTAGATTAAACCTTTTTTTTAACTAGAACGTTCCCAGATACTTTTTCTTGGTCTATTTTGCATAAAAATCAAAGTTGAAGAAATCTCTAATTTTTGATCAAAACGATGGACTAACCCCTTTGGAAAAATTCTAATTTTGCGTTTTTCGTAAACAGTTGTTTTTATAGTCTTTAAAAGGCTTTTTTTTATCTAGAACGTCAGCAAACACTTTTTCTCGATCTATTTTTGATAAATACAAAAGATGAAAAAAACTTCAACTTTTTGACCAAAATCATGGACTGTCCCCTTTGCAAAAATGCCAATTTTGCCTTCTTTTTTAAATCCATGTTTATATTGTCTAGAAAGGCTTGTTTTCTAACGAGAACGTCACCAAATACTTTTTCTGGGTGTATTTTGCATAAAACGAAACGTTTACAAAATTTCAAATTTTTGACCAAAAACCATGGACCAAAAACCCCTTTGCAAAAATGCCAATTTTGTGGGTTTTTGAAACCGATTTTTTTTTTTTGTTCAGAAAGGCTTGTTTGCTATATAAAACGTCGAAAATCGTTTTTCACGATTTATTTTCACGATCTATGACATGGGAATACAAGGGGTTCCGAGGGGTTACAGGGGGTTACAGGGGGTTACAGGGGGTTAGAAGGGGTTACAGGGGGTTACAAGGGGTTACCAGGGGTTACAGGGGGTTACAAGGGGTTACAAGTAGTGACAGGGGGTTACAAAGGATTATAGAAACTTTCTTCTAACTAGTACGTTCCCAGATACTTTTTCTTGGTCTATTATGGATAAAAATCAAAGTTGAAGAAATCTCAAATTCTTGACCAAAACGATGGACTAACCTGTTTTGAAAAATTCTAATTTTGCGTTTTTCGTAAACAGTTGTTTTTATAGTCTTTAAAGTCTTCTTTTTTATCTAGAACGTCAGCAAACACTTTTTCTCGATCTACTTTTGATAAACACAAAACATGAAAAAACTTCAACTTTTTGACCAAAATCATGGACTATCGATATCCTCTTTGCAAAAACCCCAATTTTGCCATTTTTTTAAATCCATGTTTATATTGTTTAGAAAGGCTTGTTTTCTAACGAGAACGTCACCAAACACTTTGTCTGGGTGTATTTTGCATAAAACGAAACGTTAACAAAATTTTAAATTTTTGACCAAAACTATGGACTAACCCCTTTGGAAAAATGCCAATTTTGTGGGTTTTTGAAACCGATGTTTTTTTTGTTCAGAAAGGCTTGTTTGCTATATAAAACGTCGAAAATCGTTTTTTCACGGTCTATTTTCACGATCTATGACATGGGAATACAGGGGGTTACAAGGGGTTACAGGGGGTTACAAGGGGTTACAAGGGGTTACAAGGGGTTACAGGGGGTTACAAAGGGTTACAAGGGGTGACAGGGGGTGACAAGGGGTTACAGGGGGTTGCAAAGGATTATAGAAACCTTTCTTTTTAACTAGAACGTTCCCAGATACTTTTTCTTGGTCTATTTTGCATAAAAATCAAAGTTGAAGAAATCTCTAATTTTTGATCAAAACGATGGACTAACCCCATTGGAAAAATTCTAATTTTGCGTTTTTCGTAAACAGTTGTTTTTATAGTCTTTAAAGGCTTCTTTTTTATCTAGAACGTCAGCAAACACTTTTTCTCGATCTATTTTTGATAACTACAAAAGATTAAAAAACTTCAACTTTTTGACCAAAATCATGGACTATCCCTTTTGGAAAAATGCCAATTTTGCCTTCTTTTTAAATCCATGTTTATATTGTCTAGAAAGGCTTGTTTTCTAACGAGAACGTCACCAAATACTTTTTCTGGGTGTATTTTGCATAAAACGAAACGTTCAAAAAATTTTAAAGTTTCAACCAGAACCATGGACCATGGACCAAAACCATGGACCCTTTGCAAAAATGCCAATTTTGTGGGTTTTTGAAACCGATGTTTTTCTTGTTCAGAAAGGCTTGTTTGCTATCTAAAACGTCGAAAATCGTTTTTTCACGATTTATTTTCACGATCTATGACATGGGGAACAGGGGGTTACAAGGGGTTACAAGGGGTTACAAGGGGTTACAAGGGGTTACAAGGGGTTACAAGGGGTTACAGGGGTTACAGGGGGTTACAAGGGTTACAAAGGGGTGACAGGGGGTGACAAGGGGTTACAGGAGGTTACAAAGGATTATAGAAACTTTTTTCTAACTAGAACGTTCCCAGATACTTTTTCTTGGTCTATTTTGCAAAAAAATCAAAGTTGAAGAAATCTCAAATTTTTGACCAAAACGATGGACTAACCGCTTTGGAAAAATTCTAATTTTGCGTTTTTCCTACACAGTTGTTTTTATACTCTTTAAAGGCATTTTTTTTTTATTTAGAACGTCAGCAAACACTTTTTTTCGATCTATTTTTGATAAACACAAACGATGAAAAAACTTCAACTTTTTGACCAAAATGATCGACTATCCGATCCCCTTTGAAAAATGCCAATTTTGCCTTCTGTGTAAATCCAGGTTTATATTGTCTAGAAAGGCTTGTTTTATAACGAAAACGTCACCAAATACTTTTTCTGGGTGTATTTTGCATAAAACGAAACGTTCAAAAGATTTCCAAATTTTGACCAAAACCATGGACTAACCCCTTTGCAAAAATGCCAATTTTGTGGGTTTTTGAAACCGATGTTTTTGTTGTTCAGAAAGGCTTGTTTGCTATATAAAAACGTCGAAAATCGTTTTTTCAGGATTTATTTTCACGATCTATGACATGGGAATAAAGGGGGTTACAAGGGGTTACAAGGGATTACAGGGGTTTACAGAGGTTACAAGGGGTTACAAGGGGTTACAAAGGGGTTACAAGGGGTGACAGGGGTGACAAGGGGTTACAGGGGTTACAAAGGATTATAGAAACTTGTTTTTTTTTAACTAGAAGGTTCCCAGATACTTTTTCTTGGTCTATTTTCCATAAAAATCAAAGTTGAAGAAATCTCTAATTTTTGATCAAAACGATGGACTAACCCCTTTGGAAAAATTCTAATTTTGCGTTTTTCGTAAACAGTTGTTTTTATAGTCTTTAAAGGCTTTTTTTTTATCTAGAACGTCAGCAAACACTTTTTCTCGATCTATTTTTGATAAATACAAAAGATGAAAAAAACTTCAACTTTTTGACCAAAATCATGGACTATCCCCTTTGCAAAAATGCCAATTTTGCCTTTTTTTAAATCCATGTTTATATTGTCTATAAAGGCTTGTTTTCTAACCAGAACGTCACCAAATACTTTTTCTGGGTGTATTTTGCATAAAACGAAACGTTCACAAAATTTCAAATTTTTGACCAAAACCATGGCCCATGGACCAAAACCATGGACCCTTTGCAAAAATGCCAATTTTGTGGGTTTTTGAAACCGATGTTTTTTTTTGTTCAGAAAGGCTTGTTTGCTATATAAAACGTCGAAAATCGTTTTTTCACGATTTATTTTCACGATCTATGACATGGGAATAAAGGGGTTACAAGGGGTTACAGGGGGTTACAAGGGGTTACAGGGGTTACAAAGGGGTTACAAGGGGTTACAAGGGGTTACAAAAGGGGGTTACAAGGGGTTACAAGGGGTGACAAGGGGTTGACAAAGGATTATAGAAACTTTTTTTTAACTAGAACGTTCCCAGATACTTTTTCTTGGTCTATTTTGCATAAAAACCAAAGTTGAATAAGTCTCTAATTTTTGATCAAAACGATGGACTAACCGCTTTGGAAAAATTTTAATTTTGCGTTTTTCGTAAACAGTTCTTTTTATAGTATTTAAAGGCTTCTTTTTTTTTATCTAGAACGTCTGCAAACACTTTTTCTCGATCTATTTTTGATAAATACAAAAGATGAAAAAACTTCAACTTTTTGACCAAAATCATGGACTGTCCCCTTTGCAAAAATGCCAATTTTGGTCTTCCTTTTAAATCCATGTTTATATTGTCTAGAAAGGCTTGCTTTCTAACGAGAACGTCACCAAATAGTTTCTCTGGGTGTATTTTGCATAAAACGAAACGTTTACAAAATTTCAAATTTTTTGACCAAAACCATGGACTAACCCCTTTGCAAAAATGCCAATTTTGTGGGTTTTTGAAACCGATGTTTTTTTTGTTCAGAAAGGCTTGTTTGCTATATAAAACGTCGAAAATCGTTTTTTCACGGTCTATTTTCACGATCTATGACATGGGAATACAGGGGGTTACAAGGGGTTACAGGGGGTTACAAGGGGTTACAAGGGGTTACAAGGGGTTACAGGGGTTACAGGGGGTTACAAGGGGTTACAAGGGTGACAGGGGTGACAAGGGGTGACAAGGGGTTACAGGGGGTTACAAAGGATTATAGAAACTTTTTTTTTAACTAGAAGGTTCCCAGATACTTTTTCTTGGTCTATTTTGCATAAAAATCAAAGTTGAAGAAATCTCTAATTTTTGATCAAAACGATGGACTAACCCTTTTTGACCAAAAAAAATTCTAATTTTGCGTTTTTCGTAAACAGTTGTTTTTATAGTCTTTAAAGGCTTTCTTTTTTTTATCTAGAACGTCAGCAAACACTTTTTTCTCGATCTATTTTTGATAAATACAAAAGATGAAAAACTTCAACTTTTTGACCAAAATCATGGACTATCCCTTTGCAAAAATGCCAATTTTGCCTTCTTTTTTAAATCCATGTTTATATTGTCTAGAAAGGCTTGTTTTCTAACGAGAACGTCACCAAATACTTTTTCTGGGTGTATTTTGCATAAAACGAAACGTTCACAAAATTTTAAATTTTTTTGACCAAAACCATGGACTAACATGGACCCCTTTGCAAAAATGCCAATTTTGTGGGTTTTTGAAACCGATGTTTTTTTTTTGTTCAGAAAGGATTGTTTGCTATATAAAACGTCGAAAATCGTTTTTTCACGATTTATTTTCACGATCTATGACATGGGAATACAGGGAATACAAGGGGTTACAGGGGGTTACAAAGGGGTTACAAGGGGTTACAAGGGGTTACAAGGGGTTAAGGGGTTACAAGGGGTTACAAGGGGTGACAGGGGGTGAAAAGGGGTGGGGGTTACAGGGGTTACAAAGGATTATAGAAACTTTTTCTAACTAGAAGGTTCCCAGATACTTTTTCTTGGTCTATTTTGCATAAAAATCAAAGTTGAAGAAATCTCTAATTTTTAATCAAAACGATGGACTAACCCCTTTGGAAAAATTCTAATTTTGCGTTTTTCGTAAACAGTTGTTTTTATAGTCTTTAATGGGTTGTTTTTTTTATCTAGAACGTCAGCAAACACTTTTTCTCGATCTATTTTTGATAAATACAAAAAAGATGAAAAAACTTCAACTTTTTGACCAAAATCATGGACTATCAACTTTGCAAAAATGCCAATTTTGCCTTTTTTTAAATCCATGTTTATATTGTCTAGAAAGGCTTGTTTACTAACAAGAACGTCACCAAATACTTTTTCTGGGTGTATTTTGCATAAAACGAAACGTTCAAAAAATTTCAAAGTTTTGACCAAAACCATGGACCATGGACCAAAACCATGGACCCTTTGCAAAAATGCCAATTTTGTGGGTTTTTGAAACCGATGTTTTTTTTTGTTCAGAAAGGCTTGTTTGCTATCTAAAACGTCGAAAATCGTTTTTTTTCACGATTTATTTTCACGATCTATGACATGGGAATACGGGGAATACAAGGGGTTACAGGGGTTACAAGGGGGTTACAAGGGTTACAAGGGGTTACAAGGGGTTACAAGGGGTTACAAGGGGTTACAAGGGGTGACAGGGGTGACAACAAGGGGTTACAGGGGTTACAAAGAATTATAGAAACTTTTTTCTAACTAGAAGGTTCCCAGATACTTTTTCTTGGTCTATTTTGCATAAAAATCAAAGTTGAAGAAATCTCTCATTTTTGATCAAAACGATGGAATAACCCCTTTGGAAAAATTCTAATTTTGCGTTTTTCGTAAACAGTTGTTTTTATAGTCTTTAAAGGCTTCTTTTTTATCTAGAACGCCAGGAAACACTTTTTCTCGATCTATTTTTGATAAATACAAAAGATGAAAAAAAGTTCAACTTTTTGACCAAAATCATGGACTATCAACTTGCAAAAATGGCCATTTTGCCTTCTTTTTAAATCCATGTTTATATTGTCTAGAAAGGCTTGTTTACTAACAAGAACGTCACCAAATACCTTTTCTGGGTGTATTTTGCATAAAACGAAACGTTCAAAACATTTCAAAGTTTCGACCAAAACCATGGACCATGGACCAAAACCATGGACCCTTTGCAAAAATGCCAATTTTGTGGGTTTTTGAAACCGATGTTTTTCTTGTTCAGAAAGGCTTGTTTGCTATCTAAAACGTCGAAAATCGTTTTTTCACGATTTATATTTACGATCTATGACATGGGAATACCAGGGGGATACAAAGGTTTAAAGGGGGTTACAAGGGGTTACAAGGGGTTACAAGGGGTTACAGAGGGTTACAAGGGGTTACAAGGGGTGACAGGTGCTGACAAGGGGTTACAGGGGGTTACAAAGGATTATAGAAACTTTTTTCTAACTAGAAGGTTCCCAGATACTTTTTCTTGGTCTATTTTGCATAAAAATCAAAGTTGAAGAAGTCTCTAATTTTTAATCAAAACGATGGACTAACCCCTTTGGAAAAATTCTAATTTTGCGTTTTTCGTAAACAGTTGTTTTTATAGTCTTTAATGGCTTCTTTTTTATCTAGAACGTCAGCAAACACTTTTTCTCGATCTATTTTTGATAAATACAAAAGATGAAAAAACTTCAACTTTTTACCAAAATCATGGACTATCAACTTTGCAAAAATGCCAATTTTGCCTTGTTTTTAAATCCATGTTTATATTGTCTATAAAGGCTTGTTTACTAACAAGAACGTCACCAAATACTTTTTCTGGGTGTATTTTGCATAAAACGAAACGTTCAGAAAATTTCAAAGTTTCGACCAAAACCATGGACCATGGACCAAAACCATGGACCCTTTGCAAAAATGCCAATTTTGTGGGTTTTTGAAACCGATGTTTTTCTTGTTCAGAAAGGCTTGTTTGCTGTATAAAACGTCCAAAATCGTTTTTTTACGATTTATTTTCACGATCTATGACATGGGAATACGGGGGGATACAAGGGGTTACAGGGGGTTACAAGGGGTTACAAGGGGTTACAAGGGGTTACAGGGGGTTACAAGGGGTTACAAGGGGTGACAGGGGGTGACAAGGGGTTACAGGGGGTTACAAAGGATTATACAAACTTTTTTCTAACTAGAAGGTTCCCAGATACTTTTTCTTGGTCTATTTTCCATAAAAATCAAAGTTGAAGAAATCTCTCATTTTTGATCAAAACGATGGACTAACCCCTTTGGAAAAATTCTAATTTTGCGTTTTTCGTAAACAGTTGTTTTTATAGTCTTTAAAGGCTTCTTTTTTATCTAGAACGTCAGCAAACACTTTTTCTCGATCTATTTTTGATAAATACAAAAGATGAAAAAACTTCAACTTTTAGACCAAAATCATGGACTATCCCGTTTGAAAAAATGCCAATTTTGCCTTCTTTTTAAATCCATGTTTATATTGTCTAGAAAGGCTTGTTTACTAAGAAGAACATCACCAAATACTTTTTCTGGGTGTATTTTGCATAAAACGAAACGTTCAAAAAATTTCAAAGTTTCAACCACAACCATGGACCATGGACCAAAACCATGGACCCTTTGCAAAAATGCCAATTTTGTGGGTTTTTGAAACCGATGTTTTTCTTGTTCAGAAAGGCTTGTTTGCTATCTAAAACGTCGAAAATCGTTTTTTCACGATTTATTTTCACGATCTATGACATGGGAATACGGGGGGATACAAGGGGTTACAGGGGGTTACAAGGGGTTACAAGAGGTTACAAGGGGTTACAAGGGGTTACAGGGGGTTACAAGGGGTTACAAGGGGTGACAGGGGGTGAGAAGGGGTTACAGGGGGTTACAAAGGATTATACAAACTTTTTTCTAACTAGAAGGTTCCCAGATACTTTTTCTTTGTCTATTTTGCATAAAAATCAAAGTTGAAGAAGTCTCTAATTTTTAATCAAAACGATGGACTAACCCCTTTGGAAAAATTCTAATTTTGCGTTTTTCGTAAACAGTTGTTTTTATAGTCTTTAAAGGCTTCTTTTTTATCTAGAACGTCAGCAAACACTTTTTCTCGATCTATTTTTGATAAATACAAAAGATTAAAAAACTTCAACTTTTTGACCAAAATCATGGACTATCCCGTTTGCAAAAATGCCAATTTTGCCTTCTTTTTAAATCCATGTTTATATTGTCTAGAAAGGCTTGTTTACTAACAAGAACGTCACCAAATACTTTTTCTGGGTGTATTTTGCATAAAACGAAACGTTCAAAACATTTCAAAGTTTCGACCAAAACCATGGACCATGGACCAAAACCATGGACCCTTTGCAAAAATGCCAATTTTGTGGGTTTTTGAAACCGATGTTTTTCTTGTTCAGAAAGGCTTGTTTGCTGTATAAAACGTCGAAAATCGTTTTTTTACGATTTATTTTCACGATCTATGACATGGGAATACGGGGGGATACAAGGGGTTACAGGGGGTTACAAGGGGTTACAAGAGGTTACAAGGGGTTACAAGGGGTTACAGGGGGTTACAAGGGGTTACAAGGGGTGACAGGGGGTGACAAGGGGTTACAGGGGGTTACAAAGGATTATACAAACTTTTTTCTAACTAGAAGGTTCCCAGATACTTTTTCTTGGTCTATTTTGCATAAAAATCAAAGTTGAAGAAGTCTCTAATTTTTAATCAAAACGATGGACTAACCCCTTTGGAAAAATTCTAATTTTGCGTTTTTCGTAAACAGTTGTTTTTATAGTCTTTAAAGGCTTCTTTTTTATCTAGAACGTCAGCAAACACTTTTTCTCGATCTATTTTTGATAAATACAAAAGATTAAAAAACTTCAACTTTTAGACCAAAATCATGGACTATCCCGTTTGCAAAAATGCCAATTTTGCCTTCTTTTTAAATCCATGTTTATATTGTCTAGAAAGGCTTGTTTACTAACAAGAACGTCACCAAATACTTTTTCTGGGTGTATTTTGCATAAAACGAAACGTTCACAAAATTTCAAAGTTTCGACCAAAACCATGGACCATGGACCAAAACCATGGACCCTTTGCAAAAATGCCAATTTTGTGGGTTTTTGAAACCGATGTTTTTCTTGTTCAGAAAGGCTTGTTTGCTATCTAAAACGTCGAAAATCGTTTTTTCACGATTTATTTTCACGATCTATGACATGGGAATACGGGGGGATACAAGGGGTTACAGGGGGTTACAAGGGAGGTTACAAGGGGTTACAAGGGGTTACAGGGGGTTACAAGGGGTTACAAGGGGTGACAGGGGGTGACAAGGGGTTACAGGGGGTTACAAAGGATTATACAAACTTTTTTCTAACTAGAAGGTTCCCAGATACTTTTTCTTGGTCTATTTTGCATAAAAATCAAAGTTGAAGAAGTCTCTAATTTTTAATCAAAACGATGGACTAACCCCTTTGGAAAAATTCTAATTTTGCGTTTTTGGTAAACAGTTGTTTTTATAGTCTTTAAAGGCTTCTTTTTTATCTAGAACGTCAGCAAACACTTTTTCTCGATCTATTTTTGATAAATACAAAAGATTAAAAAACTTCAACTTTTAGACCAAAATCATGGACTATCCCGTTTGAAAAAATGCCAATTTTGCCTTCTTTTTAAATCCATGTTTATATTGTCTAGAAAGGCTTGTTTACTAAGAAGAACATCACCAAATACTTTTTCTGGGTGTATTTTGCATAAAACGAAACGTTCAAAAAATTTCAAAGTTTCAACCACAACCATGGACCATGGACCAAAACCATGGACCCTTTGCAAAAATGCCAATTTTGTGGGTTTTTGAAACCGATGTTTTTCTTGTTCAGAAAGGCTTGTTTGCTATATAAAACGTCGAAAATCGTTTTTTCACGATTTATTTTTACGATCTATGACATGGGAATACCGGGGGATACAAGGGGTTACAGGGGGTTACAAGGGGTTACAAGGGGTTACAGGGGGTTAAGAGGTTACAAGGGGTGACAGGGGGTGACAAAGGATTATAGAAACTTTTTTCTAAGTAGAACGTTCCCAGATACTTTTTCTTGGTCTATTTTGCATAAAAATCAAAGTTGAAGAAGTCTCTAATTTTTGATCAAAACGATGGACTAACCCCTTTGGAAAAATTCTAATTTTGCGTTTTTCGTAAACAGTTGTTTTTATAGTCTTTAAAGGCTTCTTTTTTATCTAGAACGTCAGCAAACACTTTTTCTGGATCTATTTTTGATAAATACAAACGATGAAAAAACTTCAACTTTTTGACCAAAATCATGGACTATCCCCTTTGCAAAAATGCCAATTGTGCCTTCTTTTTAAATCCATATTTATATTGTCTAGAAAGGCTTGTCTTCTAACGAGAACGTCACCAAATACTTTTTCTGGGTGTATTTTGCATAAAACGAAACGTTCACAAAATTTCAAATTTTTTCCCCAAAACCATGGACTAATCCCTTTGAAAAAATGCCAACTTTGTGGGTTTTTGAAACCGATGTTTTTGTTCTTCACAAAGGCTTGTTTCCTATATAAAACGTCGAAAATCGTTTTTTCACGATTTATTTTCACGATCTATGACAACGGAATACAGGGGGTTACAAGGGGTTACAGGGGGTTACAAGAGGTTACAAGGGATTAGAAGGGGTTACAGGGGGTTACAAGGAGTTACAAGGGGTGACAGGGGGTGACAAGGGGTTACAGAGGGTTACAAAGGATTATAGAAACTTTTTTCTAACTGGAACGTTCCCAGATACTTTTTTTTGGTCTATTTTGCATAAAAATCAAAGTTGAAGAAATCTCTAATTTTTCATCAAAACGATGGACTAACTCCTTTGGAAAAATTCTAATTTTGGGTTTTTGTAAGCAGTTGTTTTTATAGACTTTAAAGGCTTCTTTTTTATCTAGAACGTCAGCAAACACTTTTTCTCGATCTATTTTTGATAAATACAAAAGATGAAAAAACTTCAACTTTTTGACCAAAATCATGGACTATCAACTTTTCAAAAATGCCAATTTTGCCTTCTTTTTAAATCCATGTTTATATTGTCTAGAAAGGCTTGTTTTCTAACGAGAACGTCACCAAATACTTTTTCTGGGTGTATTTTGCATAAAACGAAACGTTTTCAAAATTTGAAATTTTTTGCCCAAAACCATGGACTAGCCACTTTGCAAAAATGCCAATTTTGTGGGATTTGAAACCGATGTTTTTGTTGTTCAGAAAGGCTTGTTTGCTATATAAAACGTCGAAAATCGTTTTTTCACGATTTATTTTCACGATCTATGACATGGGAATACAGGGGGTTACAAGGGGTTACAGGGGGTTACAAGTGGTAACAAGGGGTTACAGGGGGTTACAAGGGGTTACAAGAGGTGACAGGGGGTGACAAGGGGTTACAGGAGGTTACAAAGGATTATAGAAACTTTTTTCTAACTAGAACGTTCCCAGATACTTTTTCTTGGTCTATTTTGCATAAAAATCAAAGTCGAAGAAATCTCTAATTTTTGATCAAAACGATGGACTAACCCCTTAGGAAAAATTCTAATTTTGCGTTTTTCGTAAACAGTTGTTTTTATAGTCTTTAAAGGCTTCTTTTTTATCTAGAACGTCGGCAAAACCATTTTCTCGATCTATTTTTGATAAATACAAAAGATGAAAAAACTTCAACTTTTTGACCAAAGTCATGGACTATCCCCTTTGCAAAAATGCCAATTTTGCCTTCTTTTTAAATCCATGTTTATATTGTCTAGAAAGGCTTGTCTTCTAACGAGAACGTCACCAAATACTTTTTCTGGGTGTAATTTGCATAAAACGAAACGTTCATAAAACTTCAACTTTTTGACCAAAATCATGGACTATCCCCTTTGCAAAAGTGCCAATTTTGCCTTCGTTTTAAATCCATGTTTATATTGTCTAGAAAGGCTTCTTTTCTAACGAGAAGGTCACCAAATACTTTTTCTGGGTCTATTTTGCATAAAACGAAACGTTCACAAAATTTCAAATTTTTTGCCCAAAACCATGGACTAACCCCTTTGCAAAAATGCCAATTTTGTGGGTTTTTTAAGCCGAAGTTTTTCTTGTTTAGAAACGCTTGTCTGCTATATAAAACGTCGAAAATCGTTTTTTCACGATTTATTTTCACGATGTATGATATGGGAATACAGGAGGTTACAAGGGGTTACAGGGGGTTACAAAGGAGTATAGAAACTTTTTTCTAACTAGAACGTTCCCAGATACTTTTTCTTGGTCTATTTTGCGTAAAAATCAAAGTTGAAGAAATCTCTAATTTTTGATCAAAACGATGGACTATGGACCAAAATCATGGACCCTTTGCAAAAATTTCAATTTTGTGGGTTTTTGAAACCGATGTTTTTGTTGTTCAGAAAGGCTTGTTTGGTATATAAAACGTCGAAAATAGTTTTTTCGCAATTTATTTTCACGATCTATGACATGGGAATACAGGGGGTTACAAGGGGTTAAAGGAGTTACAAGGGGTGACAGGGGGTGACAAGGGGTTACAGGGGGTTACAAAGGAGTATCGAAACTTTTTTCTAACTAGAACGTTCCCTGATACTTTTTCTTGGTCTATTTTGCATAAAAATCAAAGTTGAAGAAATCTCTAATTTTTTATCAAAACGATAGACTAACCCCTTTGGAAAAATTCTAATTTTGCTTTTTTCGTAAACAATAGTTATTATAGTCTTTAAAGGCTTCTTTTTTATCTTGAACGTCAGCAAACACTTTTTCTGGATCTATTTTTGATAAATACAAAAGATGAAAAAACTTCAACTTTTTGACCAAAATCATGGACTATCCCCTTTGCAAAAATGCCAATTTTGCCTTTTTTTTAAATGCATGTTTATATTGTCTAGAAAGGCTTGTTTTCTAACAAGAACGTCACCAAATACTTTTTCTGGGTGTATTTTGCATAAAACGAAACGTTCACAAAATTTCAAAGGTTTGACCTAAACCATGGACCATGGACGAAAATCATGGACCCTTTGCAAAAATGCCAATTTTGTGGGTTTTTGAAACCGATGTTTTTGTTGTTCAGAAATGGTTGTTTGCTATATGAAACGTCGAAAATCGTTTTTTCACGATTTATTTTCACGATCTATGACATAGGAATACAGGGGGATACAAGAGGTTACAGGGGGTTACAAGGGGTTACAGGGGGTTACAAGGGGTTACAAGGGGTGACAGGGGGTGACAAAGGATTATAGATACTTTTTTCAAAGTAGAACGTTTCCAGATACTTTTTCTTGGTCTATTTTGCATAAAATTCAAAGTTGAAGAAATCTCTAATTTTTCATCAAAACGATGGACTAACTCCTTTGGAAAAATTCTAATTTTGCGTTTTTCGTAAACTGTTGTTTTTGTAGTCTTTAAAGGCTTCTTTTTTATCTAGAACGTCAGCAAACACTTTTTCTCGATCTATTTTTGATAAATACAAAAGATGAAAAAACTTCAACTTTTTGACCAAAATCATGGAGTATCCCCTTTGCAAAAATGCCAATTTTGCCTTGTTTTTAAATCCATGTTTATATTGTCTAGAAAGGCTTGTTTTCTAACGAGAACGTCACCAAATACTTTTTCTGGGTGTATTTTGTATAAAACGAAACGTTCACAAAATTTCAAATTTTTTGCCGAAAACCATGGACTAATTCCTTTGCAAAAATGCCAATTTTGTGGGTTTTTGAAACCGATGTTTTTGTTGTTGAGAAAGGCTTGTTTGCTATATAAAACGTCGAAAATCGTTTTTTCACGTTTTATTTTCACGATCTATGACATGGGAATACAGGGGGTTACAAGGGGTTACCTGGGGTTACAAGAGTTTACAAGGGGTTACAAGGGATTACAGGGTGTTACAAGGGGTTACAAGGGGTGACAGGGGGTGACAAGGGGTTACAGGGGTTACAAATTATTATAGAAACTTTTTTCTAACTAGAACGTTCCCAGATACTTTTTCTTTGTCTATTTTGCATAAAAATCAAAGTTGAAGAAATCTCTAATTTTTCATCAAAACGATGGACTAACCCCTTTGGAAAAATTCTAATTTTGCGTTTTTCGTAAACAGTTGTTTTTATAGTCTTTAAAGGCTTCTTTTTTATCTAGAACGTCAGCAAACACTTTTTCTGGATCTATTTTTGATAAATACAAAAGATGAAAAAACTTCAACTTTCGGCAAACGATCGAGCCATAAAAACGACTCGAAGCAATGGAATGAAATTAAGGCTAATTGAAACGAGGCTACTGACAGTAAAAAAGCAATAAAAATGTAAACTCATTTCGTGGCAATGAAAGAACATATGCGATACAAAGCCGACACAAATCCTCCGCGAAGTAGGACGGAAAACATTAGCTTATGTTTCCTTATCTCGATTTCCGCTGTTATTTTAAAAAGGTAATGTTCAAACTCACATCCATTTCCTCCCGTGATCTAAATCTAAATCTAAATCTAAATATCGTTATGTCTGCAAAATCGTTTGGGACATCACGCCAACTCTAAGATAATAATAAATAAAACTCTACTAGAATATACAAAAACTATTAAAAAACTATTAAAAACTATTAAAAAACTACTGATAAAAGAAAACTAAATTAGTTTGCTTTTAAAAATACGGAGGGATTGGCTGGAGACAGTTTCTTCTGGAAGTTTGTTCCATTCAGTTATTGTCCTGGGAAAAAAAGAAAATCTAAAAATATCTTTATGTCCTTTCGGTACAATAAATTTAAAATCATGGCTTCCCCGGGTTCTCCTTTCTTTGCTTGTTATCAAATAATCCCCCCAGTTCCCATCTAGGAGGCCGTGGCACATCTTGTATATAGTGGAGAGCCTTGCGTGTCTTCTCATTGTTTCAAGTGTGTCCCACTGTAGGTCTTGCAGCATTTCCGTCACGCTCGTTGTTCGATCGTAATTTCCAGTGACAAAGCGGGCTGCTTTCCGCTGTACCCTTTCTAGAGCGGCTTTATCTTTCTGGTAATGCGGGTCCCATGCGCTACAGGCATACTGGAGTTTTGGCCTCACAAGTGTCATATACACGGTTTCTTTCACTGACTTTGGACAATTCCACAGATTTCGCTTGATAAGTCCCAAGACCTTATTTGCCCTAGATGTGATTGTTTCAATGTGTGGTGACACCTCATTTTCTTATCGAGCACCACCCCCAAATAAGGGTGAGATTCCACTTCTTCTAGGATTTGTCCACAAAATACGTATTCCCGCTTTGGTTGATCTCTCCTGGTTGTAAAACACATGATCTTGCACTTTGAAGGATTAAATTCCATCTTCCACTTTTTTTGCCAATCTTCTAATCTATACAAGTCCTCTTGGAGATCGGCTGTGTCTTATCACAACAAATTGTCCCATATAACAATGCATCATCAGCAAAAAGTCTAACAGTAGAGTTAAGACTATCAGGCAAATCATTTATATACATTAAGAACAGTAGCGGTCCTAAGACTGTTCCTTGGGGAACACCAGATGTCGTAACTACAGGGGCAGATGATGCCCCCTCAATTACCACTGATTGGGTACGCTGTGTTAGAAACGATTCAAACCAGTTATGTAGTGGGCCACGAATTCCATAATAATCAAGTTTCTTCAAGAGTCGGCGATGGGGAACTTTGTCGAATGCTTTTGAAAAATCAAGGATTGCGGCGTGAATTGTTTTGTTAGACTGGATAGCACTTGCTATGTCATGAATGGTACATATGAGCTGTGTTTCTGTTGATCGTTTCGCTCTAAAGCCATGTTGACAATCAGTGAGCACTCCATATCGTGAAAGATGCTTCATAACATGGCTGTGTACAATATGCTCAAGTACCTTTGATGCAATGCAGGTAATTGACACGGGCCTATAATTTGAAGGATCCGATTTCTTTTCTTTCTTGTGAATAGCGCATACGTTGGCATGTTTCCATTGGATAGGCACAGTTCCGGTATCAAGACAATCTTGATATATATCAGTAAGAACCTTTGATATTTTGATATACCTTTGATCTTGGGGAGTCCTTAAGAAGAAGAGGAAGAAGAAATGCCTTTCTTTACCATACATTTCACCAGTCCGTTTTTTATAGTCCGTATTTTATACCCAGACCGCAATCCGTAGTCCGCAGTCCGTGTTTTATACTGACAGCCATAAATTCATTCATATACATAACCTACTACAGTACTACAAGGTAGGAGATCAAGCCAGCGTCGAAGTTGAAGGAGTCGAAGAGCAAATGCTCATCATCTTGTCAAGTTTAACGCCTGGACGGGTCAAAGGCTTTTGAATCGTACTAATTTGAAAGATTCCTGCCTGTCTTAAATTTGGTAAGACCTCTATCCTAACCGTGATGTAGCGCACGATGCACGCTCGCAGCGAGGAATTTGATGCTACCGAAATTCGGCGAGCGCGTGCTTCTTTGGAAACGATAGATCTTCGCGCTCTCGAGTTCGGACCCGATTAATTACGAAGTGCGTCTACTACGAGTGAGTGAGTGACTCATTTGCATATCTCAGTCCCTGCAATAACTCGTGGTACGCTCGCGCGTACCCACGAGTTAAAAAATATGCACGTATTTAGGACTGGAAGGGCTAAGCCCCAGGCCTGTAACCCATTGTAACTCGTTGTTACCTCCAGTATTGAAACCTCTTGTAACATCATGTTACCTGCTGTAGCTTTAACCCCTTGTAAACTCATGTTACCCCTTGTAATTTCTTCGTTGACCCTCCTTAACCACTATTAACACCCTGGAAGCCCTTGAAACCCCTTATAACCTCTTGTAACTAAATATAATCTCTTGTTAATACCTGTAACCCCTTGTATTTAATGAATCCCTTGGTAGTTGTAGATTTCAGATTCTCTGGTTTCTTGCATGCGTAATGAGCAGTGAATTCACACGCAAGGTAGCTGTGAAATTTCTACCACCTTTCTATTCGGTCAGATTGAAAAATCCTTGAACAGATAAAATCGCTTTCAAGACATTTACCTTAAATTCAAAAAAAGTGAGCTGGCAGAAATTTTATAACTACCTCGAATGTGAGTAGTGTGCATTCACTGCACATTTACGTATGGAAGAAACCAGAGATGAATCTGAATTCTACAACTATCAACGGCTTCAGCTCTTAAATAATGTATATAGAGGCTACGATATTACATGGCCGCGCGGAGATACGAAATTTCTTTTCGAGTGTTGAAAAAATATTTCACGAGTGAGCGCAGCGAACGAGTGAAATATTTTTTCAACACGAGTAGAGAAATTTCGTTTCTCCAAGCGGCCATGTAATGTTCTCTTTATTATATAAACACCAATGAACTACGAAACCATTTCACTTTAAAGGCCCATGTTCACCCAAACGGCTTTGCGCGCTTTGTGTTTTTGTTTTGAAATGATTCTTTTGTCAAATGCAGTGTTTTGATTGGCTTCCACTTTTGAAGAGTGTTGCGTGACAATACTAAAAATGACTGCCAGGGAGACTAGCTTTTTTCACGCTTAACCGAGACTTAACCGAAGCTTAAAGAGACAGTATTAAAGAGGCCAGTAAGACTTTAATTCTTTTCCAAATGGAGGAAGATATATCGCCGACTTCGTTAAAGGGAACCTCCACTCTTACTACAGAATAAGTTTAAATCGAATAAAATTATGTTGATAAACAAATTTGTTCGAAATTTGTCTTAAAAAAAGTGTTTATATCAGGAAAAGTGAATTTTAAAATCGCTTATTTTTACTTTCAAATTTCGCGGGCGCCGCCATCTTGAATAATTGTGACGTGTTACGGTTGCTCTATTGTTCTGACACAAAGAGCTTTTGTTTAATAACAATAGGGCAACCATTACACGTCACAATTATTCAAGATGGCCACGCCCGCAAAATTTGAAAACAAAAATAGGCGAATCTAAAAGTTATTTCTTTCGGATACAAACGCTTTCTTTAAAAATATTTTAGATTGACTTGACTGTAACAGTTATTTCCTGTGATTTAAAGTTATCTTTTTGTTGAAGTGGAGGTTCCCTTTAAATGTCGCCGTAGAAAGCAGTTCAAAATTTAAACTGGTAATGAATGCGTATGGATGCTTTGTTGAGTCCGATGAATACAATGAAGGTCATAAAATTACGAAACGTCTAAGCACCAGGTGAGATTTTCCTGAAGCCTGATTCGACTGTGAAATGTTTTGATTCCTTAATCTATTATCTTGTGTTAATTCTTAGGAAGCTTAGGTATGTATTCTCGAAAGAATAAGCGAGAAGTTGTGTTTGCAAAGCGTCGAATCAGCACCGCGTACAGTCTTGTCGCTGTAATCGCTGTGTTACACTTTCTTTAGGTTTTCCTAAGGATTGGTTTGCTAATAATAGTTCTCGTTACTTTAGAGCTTTAATCGTGATACGACAGACGATAAATTTATGTTAAGGAAATCACTCGCTTCATACGTTAAATCAAATAAAGCATTGTTCATGTTAGATTGACTCGCTTGTTTTGCTTTCAACTGATTTCATCGGGACCTTAGTTTGTTTACAATTGAACATTCGATGTAGAAGCTCGGCAAACACGCTGTCTGTAGAATTTACATCCAAGAGCTTCTTTCCTATCTCTCCAGAGATTTAAAAAACGGATTCACGGAGACGAATGTACTTCGGCGACCCCGTCGACGCGGGCTTCCAACCGTACGTTTCGATGGCACCGCCATCGAAAGAGCTGCAGTGAAAACAAAAACTCACAGAAACAAAAAGGCTCCATACCAAACCAAAATATCCAAAAAGATGTAAAGAAAAATACCAAAAGAACCTGTTTAGACTTTCTTTTAAACCAGATTTAGCGAACTGTGGAAGATTAACAAAGATTGACTTTACACACTGAAGGCAGCGATTTTCAACTACGCGAAATGTTTTTTACTGGAGTACAGGGCGCGCAATGCATCTAGGGTGAACATGGGCCTTTAATAGTATTTTGGTGTGAAAGGCGCGATTTATTATGTAGCCATAGCAACGGTGATATTTTCATATGTGAAGATAACATGTTATTTTCACACGTGAAGATATCAAGTTTTCGCGCTAAATCTCACCTGGTCCTGGTATTTCATTGGTGTTTATATAATAAATTCATTTATCGAATCTTTTGGTGGATGTGGTACGCTTGACTTGTCTTGTCCTTAACTCGACACTTTGGCTGTTGAACTAGCCTGAGAAAACAGCCGAGATTTGGCGACGCTACCACTGGTTTCCCCGCCAAATAACACTGTTGTATTATATAAACAACAATGAAATACCAGGTGAGCTTTAGCGCGAAAACTTGATATCTTCACGTGTGACAATAACATGTTATCTTCACATATCAAAATATCACCGTTGCTATGGCTACATAATAAATCGAACCTTTCGTATAGGTAATAGCATGATTTGTAGTGATATTTGGCATAAATACCACGAGTGATATTTCGAAATTGTTATACGTAATTATATCACTAGTGGTATTTATGCCAAATATCACGTACAAATCATGCTATTATTTGTTTATACTACTACCCGCAAAAGGTTTGTAATTTTCACATGTAGGTATTTCAAATTAAGCTGAAATACCATTGCTCTAAGCCAATCAAATCGCAGAAATTTCTCATGTAGTAGTATAAACACCATATACTATTAAAGTGAAATGGTTTCGTAGTTCATTGGTGTTTATATAATAAATAGAACATTACATGGCCGCTTGGAGAAACGAAATTTCTCTTCTCGTGTTGAAAAAATATTTCACTCGTTCGCTGCGCTCACTCGTGAAATATTTTTCAACACTCGAAAAGAAATTTCGTATCTCCGCGCCGCCATGTAATATCCTCTATTTCTCAGGCTAATGTTGAACCCGCCGTCTTTGTTTGATTTCTCTTTTTTTTTATCCGGCGGCCGAAACAATACTCAATATGCTTTGCAAGACGAATTTCAGGATAAAACCGGACAACATGAAAAGAAAAGAAAAAGAAAAGAATGAATGAAGATGGGTCTTGACAGGACATTCGCGATAGTCTACAAGAAACGGGCGAGGTTGTACGAGACATTTCAGGTTTAGAAAATCAAGAAATCGTTAAACATAGTGAGGAAGTAGCCTAGCATTCAAGATACAATCGACTTCCACGTAGTATCGTTCTTAATGGAGTTTTGGATCGGTAAAAAAAAAACTTTCTTGCCTTATCAATCCATGTTTTATTACCCCATGTTTTATCAACCCAGTCCGTGACGTAACGTGAGAAAACAGCCGACATTTCCAGACGCGACCACTGGTTTCCCCCCCAAATGACGTCCGAGAAACGAGCAAAGAAATTCCATACTGATGACGCGTCACTACCCAGATCCGGGTAGTGCTTCTGATTGGTTGAATCAAATTTCCCACGCGGCACGACCAATCAGAAGCACTACCCAGATCTGGGTAGTGACGCGTCATCAGTATGGAATTTCTGCGCTCGTTTAGATACAATAGGAGTGAGATTATTTGGAGTAAGCCAATTGTTAACTTAAGATAGGTCTTCGTTTAGATTTTTGTCAAAAAATTCCAAACTGTATTAGCAACAAAGGTTAAGTGCGTATCATCAGCGTACATTCGTGGTTGAGAATTCAGTATGCAATAGGTAAATCATTTATATAAATTAGGAATAGAAGCGGACCCAGTATTGTTCCCTGGGGAACACCGCGAGTTGTTGCTCGACAAGAGGAGAGCAAGGTTTTAGCCAGGAGGGTGTCCAGCAGGCCTATTGACGCCCATTTTTGGAAGAAAAACAAGCAAAATTTACTTAATCTCTTATAATTTTATGGGAAAACATGCCTTCTGGCCGGTAAGTTTTCAATGTCTGGCTAAAAGCCTGTCGGAGAGTGAACTATTTACAAAACAAATCATCGTTGTTTTCGACAATCTAAGTAACATCTAAACCAACTAAGTGAGATACCGTCATTAACGTAGTTGAATGCCCAGTTATCCGAAGCAGAGCGGCAGCAGGGGATACAAGGGGTTACGGGGGGTTAAAAGGGATTACAAGGGTTGCAGGGGGTTACAAGAATTGCAGGGGATTATAAGGGGTTACAGCGGGGTAAAAGAGCTTTACAAGTTTCAGAAAAAATACGGCGCATGCCATCTGGATTTTCCAGAGTGCACCCTGAGATGGGGAGGGGGAACTGGAGGGTTAAAGAATACAAACAGCGACGTTCGCCACCTTCCTTCGCTCCGGGCATTTTTTTACTGTTAGATAATATGGTCAATGCATTCACCATATCGTTTACATTCCATAAATCTATGTGTTGTACCTGGGGAGAGGATTTAAGACAAGTTACAAAATATCACCTGAAGCCAAAAAATAAAAGCAGACTGAGCGGGCTACATAAAATGACTTGTGACGTAGTCTGAAGACTACTTGTGACCGAGATACCGTATCATTTACTATAAACAAATGTTAATGTGTGTCGACAAGAGTGATTTATGTAGGGGAAATCTTGTTCGACTTCTCCTTTATTTAACAGAAATTTCGTATTAACGGGATTTGATTGCTTTGCGTTCGAAATAAGGACAGATGTTCAATATCATTAAATGTTTGTCACGCACTTTTTCGGGACAAATTGATAGATAGCTGGCATTCTCAACAGTAACACGTAAGCTGTCTGATTTGTGCTTGTGCAAAGGTTTGCCTTTGCATGAACGCACTTTCTTGATATAATCATTCCCATGCGATGAGAAAATAGACTATACGTTACGCACTAGGCCATAGTCAGGGACCGATGTCACGCAATGCATTGTCAGGAGAATGTAACTCTGTCCTTGAAGAATATCTTCGCCTGATCAGCTGATAAAATCTCACATTTCGCAACCATTGGTTAGAGCTCTTCATACGTCACGTTTTCTTGTACACCTTCCTCACTTTTCGCCCTACTGTGCTTGCTACGATGTTTCTTCTTTCGTTCGCTATCGTCGTCGCGGCTTCTTCGTCTGTCCTTTCTTTCATCGCCATCTTTGTGCCGCGACTTTCGTCGTTCTTTTTTCTCGCCTTCTTCCCCGTCCTCACCTTTGTCTTTTTGTTTCCGTTGCTTGTGCTTCGTTTTTGATTTCTCACCACTCTGCAAGGAACAGCGAAATGCGTGAAGTGAGTCCACATTTAAGGAATACAAATTCTAGCCAGTTGTTTGCGCAGCTTACTATTTGGAGTTCACTCCTCACACTCAAACATTCCCTCTTCCAACTGCTGTTGTTAGTTTTTCCACTACAGTACTACCAAAGTTTTACACTGAGTCAGTGAGCAAGTTTTTGAGTAGTTCGGTCATTCATTCACGCCATACGATAGTCACTCAGTCGTTCAGCCGGTGAGTCGGCCAGACTGTTAATCAGCCAGTCGTTTAGTCTGTCAGTCTACCAGTGAGTCCGTCAACCATTCAGCCAGCCAGTCCACAAGCCAGCCAGCTAATGAACCAGCCTGCAAATAAGTTAGTAAGCTAGTCAGCCAGTCAACCACCCAGTCAGCCAGCCAGCGAGCCAGCCAGTCAGTCAGTCGGGTCATTTAGTAAGTCACGTAACGGACACAGATGTGTCACGGCTAGAACTTGAAGAGGAAAAGGAAAAAAACCTACCCTGTGTTCCTTTTTCTTACGGTTTTTACTCTCATCATCTTTACCTGCAAGAAAGGCAAAATGGAAAACATTAGAATACACCTGTCATATTATCACAGTGAAATTTAACACCTTATAACTTTAGGTGATCCCCTCCCCTTCATGTTATCAAATAAAAAAGCATGCATAAAGGAACGCCACTACGCTTTTCGGACCATTTTACGTTTCTGTAAAACTACCCACCTACCCCTCCCCTGAGCCAACATTTTGCCCTAAGTAAGAACTAAGTGTTAATTCACAAATGTAAAATGATCCCGCTTTTCCTTCACAGCCAAATTATCAAGTATTGAGAGACTTCATGGCACTTGTGAAAAAACGACTTTTCGTAATTATTATTTCTAAAAAAGATTCCCTTAAACGCAAGCCCTTGGACAAACAGCGATCAGCTGCTTTTTGGAGTCTCAATTCACCACTTTAGATACGAGAAGAGAACTGGTAACGAAATGCGTCCCGCAATTGTTCCTCGGATCGTTACTGGGGGCGCGTCGGTCCGCTATTGGTCAACTTCTTCCTTATCCCTGTTAACAGTCCCAGAAGTCCTTTCGACAGTTAACCTGGCCCATTTTGACCACTCGTTTTTTAAGTATTGTCCGCAGATTTTATGTCAAATTTTCTATGAACGGAAAAACATGACAAAGGAAGGTAAGAAGTTAAGAAAATTAACATCGGTGATCATCACTAGCCATGATCTCATTATTAAATTTTTTTCCTTGTACGGAGCCATGTGAATAAAATTCATAACTGATAATTTTCCTCATGGACTTGTTTTACTTACTTGCGTTAACGTCGTCTTCGAAGCCAATATCGATTAAAGAGCTGGGGGCTTTTGAGGTAAAACAAATACGGAGTGACAGTTTGGTAAGGATCTGCTCAACTTGTTAATGATGTTGTTACGCTACAAGCATATGCGCTAAGTCAATGCATTGATAAAGGACATTTTACCTTCTCAAGTTATATGTGGACTTAATGGTGCGTTCCAATGGGGTGATCAGGATAAGGAACAGTGCTGATCCTAGATAAATAATTCAGATCATAGCACATAAAGGACAGAAGGAACCACCCTGGAATAGAATTCATCGGTCCATTTGATGTACCATGATCGCAAAGATCTCAGATAACTGATCCTGATCCGGATCATCCAAAAGAACGCCGCATCCAAGTGAACTTCTACGGACACTGGACTAGTCTACTGCGTTACGCAGCCGTTCCGTGTGTTGTCATGCAATGCTCTTGCCCACGAAGAAGCGAAGAGTTATGTGACCAAACAAAAATGGACAAAAACTAGAGAATTACCACATCATCTACACTTGGAAAACAAAAAGCACAAGCTCAAGAGGTCTATCGAGCGACACCAATACACGTAACACTCACACGTTGTCGTTGTTTTGGCCTGCGGTTTCATCTGTGAAGTCATGAATTTTTCCCACTCATCCATAGGAATTGAAGATGTCGAGGGGTCCTGGGAATGAGAGTCTGCGTTTCTATCAAGGAGAGAGAAACAGCAAAAGATCAGATCAGAATTTAAAGTCGAGTGCTATAAAGACCTTTAACATAGAAAGAGTATACTTCGCAAACCTTCCTGAGTACTCCTTGCCAGCTGGTGATTTTCGAAAGGGAATCTAGGAAGAAAATAAAATACAGATAATCTGGTAAAAAGAAGATTATCGACGTTGTTTACTTCTATATTTTATTTTCTACACCACCTTAATAAAGGACGAACAAGCGACCATTTAGATGCAACTTCAAAGCATAAATAGACAAATGAAAAGTCCTTCATTGACTTTAACTTAGACCGCGGTGTAAGGCAATAAGTAGAAATACACAACTGTTTCTAAACGAGTTCTTAAGAATAGGTAAATGTTTTCATGGTCTAGACTGTGCGTCTTCTTATTCTAAGGTTGGTCCGGAGTCGAGAGCGGGCAAGTTGAAGGGAATGCTGATTTCTAATTGGCTACCCGAATGGACAAGATGACCCATCTCACCCGCTCGGGATTTCCCGCGTAAGTCCCAGAAAAAAGTTCTCTTAGCGGTCACATCATAAATCTTGCTCTGTCAAGATGGCTGGATATTAAAACACAAAAACGAAACTAACCAAAACAAAGAACGAATGAATGAACGTGCGCAATGTCTCGCCATCTTGATCTCACGCTTAGTCAATACCTCATAATTATTTACATGTTATATTGTTCCAGTAAATATTAATTGACCGAATAGCAAGTGACAATTTTGATTGGGAGCAGCCTTTCGCTCCTCCTAAAGGAAAATAAAACGCTGCTCAAAGTCTAGCTCTATAAAGTTGATTAATTCCATCCAGTTTCATATTTGGAACCACTGGGAAATATGAAATGGAAAACCACTAATTACTATACTTCGGTAAAACACTGTACAAAAATTGCAGCCATTTTTCAAGGACTTTTCAAGGTCCACATTCGATTTTCAAGGACCACCTACCAGGGATAAAATCTCACAGGTTGTACAAAAATGCATATTCCCAGTCTATTCTAACAAACTTTAAGGCTTGAGCCGTTTGCTTCACCAACTTCTCTCCATTTTTCAGTTCACTGGTCTTAAATTGATAGTTAATTATTGCATAAAACAAAGAGCACTTTATGTAAATAACCTTTACAATTCTTTGACCTGATTTATATTCTTCCTTGGACAACCAAAAAGCATTAAAAAAACACTTTCCAGGACACTCTCTTCAAAGTTAAAGAAAATTCAAGGACTTTTCAAGGACTTCCCCTAAAATTCAAGGACTTCTCATGAGTGTGCGAACCCTGACTGTCCTTTTATTAACCCGTCAAGACCCAAGAGAGATCAGCAACTAATTTCTCCTTGTGATATTAATGCATTATAACCCAGAGTGGTGACGAGAATTAAGGACATGATCACAGAAGATGAATATCATTGACACTACAACAAATTCTCCCCAATACTTCTATTGGAAACGTATAGGGCCAAAAATGGGAATTTGCATTTTGATATTTAGGGTTTCAACGGTCAAAGAGTAAACAATACCTTTGGATCTGTATCAGGTGAGTTTAACCAATCATCAACATCTTCAGTCCCGACACCAAATCCATCTTCAACTGGCTGCATCGGAGAGGCAGAGCTGACAGGCATTTCAAGTTTTAATGTTACACCTTCATTTCCCGCTTCATTCCCTTTCTTTTCTCTACTTCTTCCATTCCCTTTTTTGCTTTCCTTTTTCCTGTCCTCGTCGCTGTTGTCTTCATTATCCTCCTCTTCACTTGACGTTAGCTCGACAGCAATAGCTGCCGACGGTTTTTGCGGCTTTTTAGCGATTTGCTTTTCATCTAAGTCATCGTCAATGTGGTTGGTGACCGCAGGCGCAACACTATCGTCTTCAGAGTCGATGTCCTCTGCAAAACCTGCCACCATTGGGTTTCTTGTATCGCTGTCGCTAAGTAGCAAAACAGAGCTCTGTTAACGACTCCAAATAACAGCTATTACTGGCCAAGCACAATAGATGTTTGGCAGGGTGGCAATACAATAAAATAATCAGAACTCTCGGCCAAAGGCGGGGAAAAAACAAACAAAGCAAAGAAAAACCAATGGAATCACGAAATCGAAATTCGATGCAATTGAAGGTTACTGATCATAAATTGAACTACAAAAAAGTCTATAAAACATGACCTACAATAATGTTTATTTTGATCAAGGCGAAAGGAAACCGAACACAATTTTAATTGACCCCCCCCCCCCCGCTCCCCATATCGATGAGGCCTAAATGAAAGGAAACTTAAACAAGTTCTTAAATCGTCAATATTAAGAAATTTGGAAAGGGCTAATTAACGAACATTTGTTTTTTACTAGACATGTATTTAATTACAAGAGCACGCAATGGGTGGACAGTCATTTACAAAGGTGGGCTCTGCCCAGATTGTCATAAATGTTCCTGCTGTACCAGGCCGTTAGCTATTTGACGGGACTGTATTTGGGGACAAAGTTTGACCCAGTTTCCCGTGCAACTATCAAACGGCCAATAGAGAGGAGAAGTCGTTACGTCACATTGCCATGGTAGCAAAATTTCTGGATGACAACAAACCGAAAACGTTTCTAAAAAAGTGAATTCGCACTGTTACAAACTTCATCGATCTTATTCAATTTCATTTAATTTGTAAAATGTTGACAAAATTTTCTGGGGTTGAATCCAAAACGACCATAGCTAAGTTAAGAAAAAAAATAAAATTTTTATGTTGTGTTTACCTGCTCCATAAAGCGGGCGGGTGAAATTAGAAAGATTCATGTCGCAGTCGCGCAACGACGGCTAAGCAATGTACAATAGAGCGTGATGCACGTGCAAAGTTGTTGTATTGCTAACATAAACTTGTTGCTTTTTTTGCCGTTCTCGTTGCCGTCGCCGTCGTCGTTGCTTAAGCTCCTTATTGTTGATTGTTGTGATCCAGAAATTTTGCTTCCATGGTTACGTGACGTCAAACTTCTCCTCTCCATAGAAGCAGCCATATAATTCATAAGCGCAGTTTGACACACACATCGGTCTACAGTAGTCTCGAGCACAATCCCAAGATGGCTGATCAATACCAGACTGCAAGCATTATTTTCAATTATTACCTGTCGCTCTCTTCGCTGATATCCTGCTCAACTTCGACTTGTGCCGGTTGCTTCTTGGCTGAAGATTTATTTGGCCTTTTTTTGTTTCCGCCTTTCTCCTCGTCTAAGAACCCTGCATCCAGTTCATCTTCCGGCACAAACTCGTCAATATTTGTCGACGAATGTGACCATCCGTTTTGTGGGGCTTCTATCAAAATGAGCAAAACAAGTTGCTAACTACTCTTAGCTACGACATTTGTTAACGACTTGGTGAGATAGTTTTTTTACCTTTCAACAATGCTGGTAATGCGAAAACGTGTTCATTGCCGCAACAAATTTAAATAAGTTGACAGCGCTCCAAATTTAGGGGCATGCAATACGACTATACCCGAGGTACATCGCTGACACCTTCCCGTCATGCTCTGCAGTGAACCTACCACTATGCAAAGCTTCACAATACCAGCAGTCTTCTCGCCGGATTCCCAAAGTGTGGGATCGATGATGCATGCGCCGCGTCACCTAAGGGCGAAAAATCTGCGTGTACCTACCTTCACCAGCGTCTGTAGGTGAGGATGTTTTCCGCAAAGCTCCATCTTTTTGTGATTCTCCACCATTTGAGACGTTGGTGTTAGGATTCTTTGCTGGGTTTTAAGCAAAAAAAGAAAGATTTTAAATCGGCTATGTTCTACTGAAGATGCTGTATTAGACTCGTTACATCACTGGCAGCGATCATATTTATTGGTATCTACGTAGTGAGTGTAATCATGAATATGACTGTTGTTGACAGTGACTGACGTTTCGACAACCCATGTGGTAGTCATCTTCAGCGTCAAAGTGAGTTGTACCACGTCAGTTGATGGTTTTTTTTAAGTCGCAATGTTATTGGACGTCCTTCCATGATCTGAGCAACATTGCATGACCACGGCTTACTTTTAGTTAAATAATCTTACGCTTTCTCCCGTATATACTTTTAAACTTGTTTAGTCAATAACTACTGATGCTGTTTTGCTAAGGTGTTGTGTAGAGGATGAAGAATGGAAAGGTCTTGTTATATGACACAACAAAGACGTAAGTAGATCCAATATAGCAGCGAAAGTCGCGTTCAACATTCGAGGGTAACAGTGCATTTTCATCCTCCAACGTCATTGTTCAAATGCAGAGTTTAGAAAATAAACAGTTTCACTTTTAGATGTCAGGAGTCCATTACCAGGGAAAATTTCGGCGACAACAAAATTTACAAAAAGGCTGCTGATTCGGAGACTTTTGACGGAAAACAGTTTTACTGTTAGATGTCATGTGATCAATGACCGCGCGCTTGTGAAGGAAAATTTCGCCGCCGAATCGGAGACTTTTGGCGGGAAAAGAATCTCATTATTAGATCATTAGATGTCACATGACCCCGAAGCGTCAAATGAGAACATGCGCTGTAAAGGGGGAAATAATAGCTACAAAGGCATTTACCTGTTGTCTGGCTTGAGCGAGTGGTGGATGACAAACCCTGCTCGCCATCTCCAGCTGCTGCCGCGGCGGCGGCTTTCTTAGCCTCGTGATCTTTTCTTCGCTTGTCCAGCAAGCTAACAAATCTACAAACAAAAACACCGCTTAACTTACATGTAGCGTTTCAAAAACAATAAATCATACCGGTGAATTGCAGATCATGAAATTAAATGAAGGGATGATTGCTGCAGAGACATGTGTAATTAATAAGAGAAACGTGATTGGTTTGAAAAATTCGTCGGCGAATAATCATTACGGACAACAATACGCTTTCAGAGCCAGGAAGCAAGACAATAATGGCCAATCATAACACAAGCTGACAACAAAAAGAACCTATCACGCCTCGAAATAAGCGCAGGAAAACACTTACGTGCAAGTTACAATCAGTTTGGATTGTTATGATAAAGAGGCGGGATATTGTTTAGCCAATCCAGTATTCAACCAAAGTTAAACGCTCGATAAGGAAGTACAACTTACTTGTCGTAATCTTGTTCTTCTGTTTCTTTATGAATCTGCAGTTCTTCAAGGGTTGACTATCATAAAAGCAAGAGATAAAACGCCATTAAGAAATAATTTATTAAACAGGACTGTTTGCATCTGATAAGCCTGCAACGTACACATGATAGCATCCCTTACAGAGCCTGCACTCACTGTGCTGTATGATGTATGACATCATCGTATTCGAAAACCTCCGTTTCCGTCCTTCCACACAAATAGGACAATTCGGCGTTTTCAAAAATCTCCACTCTAGGGACCGTTTTCAGAAACCAGCGTTTTTGGTGCCTGAAAATGCCGCGAGTGGAAAGTTAAAAAGGAGAAATACTCTCCGTTTGGGAAAATTTCCGGATACGTGAGGGCGGGGCGCAAAACTTAGTTGACACATTTACAAATTAATGATAATAATAATCTTTGAATACCTCTGTGTCTTCTGCGTTGACCTGCAACTGCTTTAACAAAGTTTCCCTCTATTCAAGAAAAGCAATTGTATTAGCAATCAAAAGAAAATCACACTGCGACAAAAGCAGCTAAATTCCTTCTTTTTAAGGTAAAACTCATTCCAGACTCTTAAAATGTTGGTGGCTTGTGACTTAGTAAAAAGAAAAAAGAAACAGATGTATAAAAGGAAAATGTGAAAGTCTTGAAAATCGTAGATTCGAGACCCTCGATCTTTAGACCCTCAAAATAACTTGAACCAAACCTGACTTCCTTTTCCCCCTCAAACTCTTTAATTTTAATCCCAATATTTCGAAGTTCTTGATAATTCAAACCAACTTTTTCGTCCGCAGGAGGTTAAAAAAAAATGGATTTCACAAAATGAACATTGTCGGTACGTCAGATTGTTTCCTGAGGAGCCAGAACAGAGTTTTCAGAATGTACATGTAACTTTTCATCTCTGAGCTCTTGGATGAAAATAATGTACACTGTACATGTATGTTTCGCCAATGAGTCGTTTCGCCTACGTCCTGTTCGCAAACGTCGTGAGTCGTTTCGCTTGCGTGTTAGGCCGTTTCGCAAAGCGACTTTTTGCAAGTTAGCGCAACGGCTTATAACATGTAAGTGAAACGACTTACAACACGTAAGCGACACGAGTTACAACACGTTAGCGAAACGACTTACAACACGTTAGTGAAACGACCTAACACTTACGCGAAACGACTCGCGACGTAAGCGAATAGCACGTAGGCCAAACGACTCATTGGCGAAACGACCGGCCACCGCATTAATTGCATATTCCAGGCATTCAGATAGTGGAGTATGGCGCAGTCTCCCTTCCCTGACCCTCACCGTTTTTCCTGCTCACATCACGTTGCCTCGTCCCCATAATCTGAATGCCTGGAACAGGCTGATGTATTAACGGTTATCTCATTACAAAAACGTACAATGCAAACAAAATAATTTAATAAGGGCGCTAAAAGAGTGCGGTTGTTGTTGCTGGTTACCAAGATTTTCGATCGCCATGCATGTATGACAGAGCTATTTACCGCAGCTCACCTTGGGTTAAGAGAATTAATAACAAAAGCATTCTTTAGGAACACCTATAAGATTAACGAGCAGTAACTAACCTGTAACAATAAAAATGGTAAATTGAGAAATTTGTGAATGTATTTGAGTCCAAAACCATTCTTCATCGATGTCTCAGCATAATGCACTGGCGGAGATCTATCAGGTCTAATAAACACAAGCTCAGGCGTTATTATTAATACGGTAAATACAAACTCAGAGAGATGATCTCACCACGTAACTGCACACTGTGTATGACTACTTGACAGTGTGCAAAGAAAGTCGTGTCCGACAAGAAAGTGAATTTTTTGGGGGAATTCAAACTGTAATCAATCCTGCTCGTCAAGAACTTTTTTCGGGCGGTTGAAGTGACTCTTGAGATAGAAAATGTACATGCTAAAACTGCCTTTCTTTGCACCCTGCTTGTTAGTTTACGGTTAGCCTGCGTGGAAGGCGTTCGAAAGGGAAGGGGAAGAGAATTAGGGCGCGAGAGGACGCGCTCTCGCGCGCGCCCAAATTTCCCCTTCCCCTTCCCCTTTCAACGCCGGCCACGCAGGCTAGTTTACGGTCATCTCGCCACCAATGAAATCGTTTGGTGGCGAGGTGACCAGATAACTGCTTGTTAATGTAGCCTAGAGAAAACAATGGGTGAAGAAGAGTCCTGGAGTCCAACAAAATCGATCAAGTCAAAGAAAGGCTCTGTTAGCAGAGTGGGTTTTTTTTCAGTTGCCATTTGTACTCTCTCAATCATCATTTGATTATTCTGTTTGGGGACCATATTTACAGCCTCCCTTTACACAATGATCACTAAAACTAATTCAATGTAGCCTGTTCCAGGCGTTCAGATAGTGGGGAGCGGTGCGAAGTAAAAAGGAGCGCGAAAAAATAAAAGCGAGGGAGGAGGAGAGGTGACCTCTCTCCCCAGTCCCCCTCTACTTTTCATCGCTTTCTTTACCCTGCACCGCTTTCCACTATCTGAACGCTTGGAACAGGCTAAATTCAATGTTGTGTTACATGTGCCAGGACTGTTGAGTAGAAGTCACACTGTGTCAGTATACAGCTGTACATGTAACCTCTCTCTATGATGCCCTTGATTGGCGAAAGCTTGGATTCCAATTTTATTTTTTAAACGGCAGTTTAAGGCCTCATTAATATAATATTTTTTGCATACCTCTCTAAGTGTTCAATAAATGCAACGGCCTCCTCTTTTGGGACAAGTCTGTGCTCTCCCATGTCACGGTGATTTGCCTGCAAGTAAAAAAGGCCTCGAGGTGTTCAACTCTTAAGCATTTTGGATAGTTTTGGCTCTTTATAGCCAGACAGCGTCAAGAAACGGCTTGACAAGCCCAGGGGCGAATGGGTCAATAACTCACAAATAAGTCACACTTACCACAACCAAAACAGGTATATGAGGTGGTACTTTTGGGAGCTCCCTTTCAATGTACTTAAATGTCCTGAAAACAGAAGACAGTCTTGTCATTTAACAGAAAATACTCCTTTCTTGTGTGGTCTAAAAAGCTTATTACAAGTTATTTCAAACCCTCTCCAACGTTTGACAAGGAAAGATGAAAACCAATACAAGGTCATTATCCATTCAGCCAGTATGAACTTACCAGTTTATTATTATTTATCTTTTTTCAAGACCTTGGCTGCTTATAATACTACCCTACAAAATATTCATGCCTTTTCTACCAAAACCGGTAATTCAGACCCCAAACAATACTGAAACAATAGAAAAATGACATCATTTTCTTCTGTGACTAATCAGGGGAGACCTTATGAGCAGCTCCTACACAACATTAGTGGTAATTCAACAGTAAGCTGGTCAATCAGTAATCATCATTCCACAAAGCATCCAGCGGAACCAGCTGTAACAGAAATCTTCCAGTAACTGAGTGATTCCTCGCACACTGATTGGTCAAGATCTACATTGCATGGTCGATAAAAGTATAGACCATAGAAATGACGTGATGGTGGCACAATTTGTTCTCTCCGGCTTTCCTCATGAACGCTACTTTCCGAGAATAATGTCAACAGAAATGAATGTCAAAAACTATCAGTGTTAGATAAAAAACAGATTGACAACACTTTTCATGGTCTGTCTCTTATCGACCATAGAAATAATGTTCCATTCAATGTTTATTTTGCAGACTTTTCGGCAAAGCAACCCATGAAATCAACACTGCAGAAAGGAGAGGAAAGTGATACGTGTACCACTATTTGCGGAACCACTTAATTCATCTTGTGTTTAGGAAGTGCTTCAAAAATTAAGATTGGGATTGTAGGTTGATTCTCAATTAGAATTATTTTTCTTGGTCAACTGAGGCTAGGAGCCAAAGAAAATTGAGAATCAAATGGGTTAACAAAAAAAACTTAACCTGAAATACAGTCAACTCTCTCTAAGAAGGACACCTTTGGGACCGGCACTAAGTGTCCATCTTAGAGAGGTGTCTGTCTTATAGAGAGTCAAATAAAAGGAGTAAAGAATGGCAGGGACCAACTCTAGGTGTCCATTTTACAGAGGCGTCTGTCTTATAGAGGTGTCTGTTAAGAGAGAGTCGACTGTATATACTGTAATAAGGTGATACTGACCAGGGTTTAGTAATATCCATCGTCATGAGTACACCATGAGCACCTTTATAGACGTCAACAAACTCTGCATCTAAAACATTCCCATCCTTTTCACCCTAATGATTATTGGAACCAAATACACATTTAAACTTCAAACGTGACACAATATTTCTTAAAAATCAATATACAGGTACAGCTGTACATGTACCATACAGCTACTAGCCTTGTCTTCCAGGTTTACTTAGGATGCCATGTATTTTTTTAAGAAGTGAGAAATGAAAACCATACTTTTGTACTTTCTATACTGAAGAAAATAATAGTCATTGAAAAATGCCAGTGCACCTTATAAATTAAGTATTCTTAACACAAAGTCACAACAGAACAATATTAGAAAACACAATTGTTGTATTAGTCACCTACACATGTAGATTTTGTATTATTCTATTGTGATACACAACTACCATTTTATTGGTAATAATTCCATGACATGATTGTAACAAGTTTTCTGAAGAACTGAAGCAGGAGTATAAGAAACATAGTAAAGTAGAATATGACAGAGAATAACATTCATTGATAGACCTCAAAGACTTCATCATCAAGTGTAGAAAGAAAAGCACCAGCAGCCAAATGCTAGAGACAAAAGAGAGTAATAAGAGAGAGAGTAGAAGAATTAGTGGTAGGGACTACATGTACTGCATCATGCATACATGTAGTAAATAGGCAATACATTATGACATTGTATGTTAGCGGAGCTCTCACACGCGCAAAGTGTGTGCAGCGGTGCACCATGGGTAAGAAAATCTGGTTATCTATGCATCCAAGAAATTTTGGTTCTGACAACATCGTCGGTACGTACATCCACCCCTTCATGTAAGCTAGGGTCAAATTTTTCATTGCAAGCAAACCTTGCATTTCAGCGGGTAAAATAGCACCCAACAAAGCCCAGTGTTTCTTTCAATTAAATTTTAATGTCTACATTAACCTGGAAAACAGAAAAACAGCTATAGCAAGAAATAAAAGACAATGAAGACCAATTTCATTGGAAGAAAAACGTGAAAATTTTATAGCAGTGGTGAGAAAATGATAAATGCTAATGGCCAACAAGGTGAACATGAGCAGCAGTGAAAAAAAAGTGAACAGGGACACACAACATTTCCTCCATTAAACGTGTAACTAGGAAGTTTCTGGAAGTTTCATGTTGTAGTCATGCAAAACAACAGAAAAGACATGTACAAAAAAGTGTGCTGCACACGCAGATTTATTTTTTTTGCTACTTAGACCTACTGTTGTTGTTTTTTACTGTTCTTGTAGTCGTCACTGTTTCTTTGGCATTACACGATTTTATATTTTGTTTGAGTAAACTATAAATGTTAAAGAGAGCTTCGCTTTTAGCCCTGGCTAAATCTTCATATTTGTGGGTGGAGGCTATCGTCAAATTGTAAATTGAGATTGAATGAATAAAGTTGAAAAGTTGATGTTGAAAGTGAAAAAAGGGGCCCTGTTGGGTTACAATTCCGACAAGTGACATGGCCTTGAAACAGCAACACAAAACAGACAAAATGGCAATGAAAGACACAAAGATGGGTTAAAATTGTAACAGTGACAAAAATAAGGGCAAAGACATGTACAATAGTACAAAATACCAACAAGGACATCAAGCAATTTCTTCTCAATGGGCAAAATGAAAGGTTTTGAAATTCAGAAATAATACATGTAGGACTTAAATACATGTACCCCATCCCCTGCCATAAGAGAGCCTCAAAAATGGAAACACAGGACAGAAAATGCAATTTTCCACAAGGTAGAGGAGACCATAAGTCATGGTGTTCAAGTCGCAGGAATTTCTATAGCATGACTGAAGCACATGGGAAAACATTGTTTAAGCCCACCCCATGCAAACAGACAGTGAATGTTCAGTTACCTCAGGTTTTTCATTCTCTAACTTTAGACCACTCAGAGATGACTTTTTATTTCTTCCTGTTGAACAAAGCATGTCTCAAAATTTCCATAATGTACAGTAGCAGTACTGTAAAGTACTACACGTACTAGAAATACGTTTATCACAACACCCCACAGAGCTCCGATGGGGCGGCAATATGAATAAATTGTAAGTAATAATAAGTAAAATATTGTAAAAAAAAAAACAAAACAAAACAAAACAAAGAAAACAAAAACAAAACGACCAAAAAACAGGGAAAAAAATTTCCTCCAGCAGGAGTCAATCTCCGAATCATCAACGTGTAAGGTCACCACCTTGTCTTTTGTGTCACAACACCAAGTGTTAAACGTTCGCGATAAATTACATTTAATATGTTTCAAGTTTTTGCCCATGAAATTCTCCCAGTAGACACTGTTTGAGGCTGATAGAGCTGTTATCTATGAAGAATTTAAAGATTCAGGGAAAATGAGCAGGGTTCTGACAGTAAAAGCCGTACTTTACATTACAGAGGATGAATAATTCATCCTCTGTGAAAAAAAATGTTCACTGAACATTGCTGAATCGTAACTGATTCTCCTCATGTAAATGAAGAGAATTCCAAGCTGTACAACGCTCTCAGCAAGAGACTTCAGGACAGTTTTGCGAGACACCTGCATGTAATTATCTGCCTTTCATATCCGCAGTTTTTTTTGTTGTCATTTTCTTTTTCGTTGCTCACGCTGAATTTCAAGCCACCATTTAAGTGTTGCCTGGAAACCAAAAACTGCACCTAAACACTATGTCAGACTGAATGATGTCAATTGGAACTTAGTTGCAACATCATTGCTACATGTACTAGGCAACTCCAGCTACCAAACGAATAGAAATATGACCTAAGTAAAATCGCACTTTGCTTGAGACCCTCAGGCAATGTGCACGGGACAAAATATTATTATAAAAACTCGCTTTTGCGAGGAATAAAAATAATTATCCCTAATTATATTGTTTTGTTTCAGTGTTTGTTACCACTATATACACATACAATGTACATGTAAGATGCTTCTGACTGGGAAATTGATTCCCTAGCTTGAGAAAACAGCTAACATTAATTTTGCGACTTGTCTCCCTCCAAAATGATATCTGAGGAATGAGTGCAGAAATTTCATACTGATGACGAGTCACTACCCAGATGTAAGCCAGAATGTTGGCATTGCAAAACATCAGCTGTTTTCTCAGGCTTTAGATTTCCCAATTAATCCAGAGAAACACAGAGATAATTATATGTGCAGTACATTTCACCATATCTGAAATTATCTTAATCCATGCAATAACAAAAAAAAAAAATGAAAGCTTGGTCTTGAAATAAAAATATTGATCAAAACTCAAATGTTCTAACCTTCCCTGTTATTCACTTTATTTATGTTTCCAAAACAAAAATAATTATAATCACTTGGGTGTGGATTTGTGAATTGGCTTACCTTTGTCCACTACATCCCAGACTTCTACTTTCACAACATCATCTGTTGCTGCATAATACAACATGGAAAATAACATTTATTAAAGGATTAAAAGCAATAATTATTAACATTACATTGTGAGACTTGCATGAATAATCAGCAAGTCTTAATTTTTGCAAAGAACGCCTGTACGATCACCTTCACTTGCCCAGACCAATAAGGAGTCTTGTTAGGTGGTCTTGCTAGGTAGCTTTTACATGTAAGTCTGTGAGCAAAATCCTTTTGGGTGGTAATTCAATTCTTGTTGGCAATACTTTCACATGTTTTTCAAATTACAAAATAGGTGAACAAGTTGGCATCTTAAAACCTTTACAGCTGTACATTGTAAGTACACTGTGTCATCACCACTTACTTCTGTAATTCCAGTGTATACTTGCAACCTGTAGAAGGAAAAAAGTGACGATTTGCCATATTCAGTTGCTTGGCAAGTGGGAAAGCAGAAAGGAAATGACAGCAGGTAGAAAAATTGATAGAAAATTCGCAATTGCACAAATAAATAATATGGCTCTCAGTAAATACAAATGAATGGATAATAATTTATTACAAGGAACTGAAAATGGGGGCTAAAAATAACCAATAATTTATTAATTAATTATTATTGTTATTATTATTATTGTTGTTGTTGATAATATTATTGTTATTATTGTTATCACCTTTTGACCTCTAATTCACTGATACTAAAGTGATGTACTATACCCAGTTTTCAGTTCTAGGATTCAACTGATCAATGAAATGACAATAACAACACAGTCAGACACCTTTGTGTTCTTCTCCATAAAATGGACACCTACCGTAAATGACCTATTAAAAGCCTGAGGCATCTATTTAATTATTCTAGGTGTCCAAGCGGGATGTTTAACAGACAGTAAATACTGATACATGTAGGAGGCAAAACCAATTTGCTTTTGGTGCAAATATAAAAAGAGTTTAAAAATAACAGAACATCCACTCCATCAATTGATACATCTAGGCTATCTAGAGATCCATATCGCTCTTTCAAGTCCCAACATTGATGTCAGAATCCTCAGTCATCGTTATTGTGTTGCCTTCATTAGTCTATCCTTACTTCAAACTTGATATTGAACAAGATGAAATATACAAACCCTTGTTAATCAAGCAAGAAGCTGAATGAATTGAATGATTTTGTACCTTTTTGATAATTCCTATTTTCAAGTAATTCTCATAAGGAGTGTCTATTAGAAAGGGGGCATTTACTACACAGTGGTGTCTACCCCAATTTTAACAGTGTAGAGGGGGGGAGGTATTACATGTAGATAAGAGGCATTTATTTGGAAGTAGGCGTTTATTAGATCATTTACAGTACACATAGAGCTGATGCTGGCTCTTCAGTCATTTCCTTGACTCTCTTTATTAACAGTAATAGGTGGACACCTCTTTAAGACAGACACTCAGTCCTGGTTCCAACGGTGTCTTTTTTAAAGAGAGAGAGGACTGTCATCAAGTTATTTAAGTACCTGAATTTCATTTGTTGGTATGTACTGCTCATTGAAAGGCCTTCCTTGGAGTCTTTGAAAAAGGCAGGACTTTCCGGTATTTCTGTCACCTTTGATGACAATTTTCACTACAAGAGGTTTAAAAAAAATAAAACAGTGAAGAACCTTCCACAAAAATGAGGAATTTATCCCATGAAAACAAAATTGGCTAAGTTGCAGAATACCCAGCCCACTAAATATCTAACTTAAAAAACTACTCTCGTAGTCTGGCAGTTGTCCGATTTGCATAATAACTTCAGATATCAACTGCCAGAGTGTGGGACAGCACCTCTTTCTATAAGCACACTAAATACAGTTACTTGACATTGACTGTGGGAGTGCTAGTCGTATACCCACTTATATTCACTTTTCAGTGAGTGTGGGTGTGCGGGAGTGTGGGAGTGCGGGAATGAGTAGCACTCATGAGACTCACTCAGATTGAAGTATTCAGCACAATATGAGGACTACGAGAGCAGTTTTTTAAGTAAGTCATTTAGGGGGCCGGGTATTCGGAAATCACTCCAAAAAATAATTACCAACCAATGTATTTTAGAGAAAAAGACGGTTACATATTGTTTGGTAAATAAAGAGCATACGGGGTCATGTTTAAGGGCATTTAGATTGCTGGTGAGGATATTTCCATACTTCATCATCTTTCACCTATTAGACTTAAGCCAGTGAATGTGATTTTTACCACTGATGTCCGACAATAAGTTTAATAAAGCATTCACGCTTCTTGATAATTACCTAAGTTTTGCCACTATTGAATATGTTAAATGAAAAAATGCACCGTGTCAAAAATAATATTATTAAATTTTGGCCAGTTTTTAGCACCATTTTTTCCTAAAAGACGAAGTGTACAAGGCATAATTTACATTTTAAAATAAACGTATTAAGAGAAGCTTTACCAGCTGAGCATCATGCTGAAAAGATAGAACGAAAAATATAACTCAAGACTGAAATAGCATTGATCACTGCAGATCATCAGTTCATTTGATTGGATTAAAAAATATGAAGTACTGGGGATAATACGTTACGAAGAGAAACAGAAAAACTTACTGTTATACTGTACGCCACGAGCGAACTTTCGCTGTAAGGCCTGGCCCATGGCTCGTACTCCCAGAGGAGTGCTGATCTTCGAATCCTCATTGCCGCCCTTAGCCCACTTCTTAAGGGCAGAAAACATGGCTGAAGGGTAACGAAAAACCTACTTTATGGCGTGGACATCACTTAGCGTGCAGATCCACGTCGAGTGATAAATGCTGAATACTTTTAATCCAAACGATGCTCAAGGGAGGCATCGTGAAATGACATTCGTGGCAAAGATGGAGGATAGCTTGGTTACTCAGCCAAAACATGACGTTTTGCAAAGAATGACGGGAGACATCCGACGCTCTTTGGGACCTCCGGGGCGGGAAAAAAATTGCACCCCGTTCAAGTTCATTCACTTATAGGAACAAAAGGAATTGTTACCATAGGACACCAACATGGCCGCCGTTTTGCGCACGACTTCCCACTTCCCACTTCCTCTGCCAAAACTTTACTTGCGCTAAATGATAATCCCGCCGTCTATGCAGGCTAGTAGGATTATAGTAAGCGGGGCGGGAGAGGCCGGCGAGACCATGAGCTGGTTACAATAATAATAATAATAATAATAATAATAAGAAGAAGAAGAAGAAGAAGAAGAAGAAGAAGAAGAAGAAGAAGACAAACCACATAAATAAAGCATTGTGAAATTTACGGACAAAACGCCGACACAAACATCGTTTTTTGCATCGTAGAACAACTTCCATTTCGCTTTGCTAAGCAGCAGATTCAAGGACAGAACAGGTAAGTTTTTATCTCTTATCCGTTTGATTCCCATTAAGGGTGTGGGCTCCCTATGAGTCCTATGGTAAAACTATTACACAAAGACTGAGGGACTACAGACAAAGCCCAAACTGTAGTCCCTCATTTCTCTCCCCCCCCTCCGCGTCTCGCCTTTCTCGCGTGGGGTGATTTTCACGCGCGCTTGCGCTTCGCTCGCTCTACTATCCCTGAGGAAAAAATGGGGACTACTCGTAGTCTACCCCTTTTACACAAAGTATAATAACTTATATCAGCGTCAGCCGTTGGCCTTTCGGCTCGATCTATTAGCTCCGAATTATGAAAGGAAAGCATTATGCAGAGGATACGTACAACACAAACTTTAATCATCACTGAATAATGGCGACATCCTAATTCTGCTGTTTTTGTGAATTAACTACAATAAATAAAGACGATTTTTCGAGAGTTCCCGGTGTTTTGGACAGCCAAGCTGTCGGCTTGTCCAGGAGACGTAACGAAGAAATAAACTGATAGTGAACAGAGTGAAGTCATCGTGTTCATGGACTCTGTCCTAGATGTGTAGTATGTGATGTGCCTTCTTGCATGTAACAATATCGATGTCACTATCAGATGATCAACAGAAATGTGGGACACGAATGTTATTGCACTGAACAGGAACATACTGATTCCGGGTTGACCTGAACTCGTATAAGGGAAACTGCGAGGATACTTCGTTCGTTACTCATATCTTCCAAAGCAGCCCGAGGAATTGTCGCAGCTAGTAAGTATATTTTACTACAACGATTTCTTCTAAATGAGGGGTAAAAATTCACAGTTACCACTGTACATATATAACTAGGCTCAATACATTAATTAAACTTTTTATGAATTTACAAATATCACGAACATTATTTCAGTGAATATGAATACACCTCACTGGAGTGTTGCTCGTTGGGTTTTGATTGCTTTTTGGCTTGTCACCTCGTTGCAGCGATCTGGTAATTTTAGCTAATTAAGTTTCCACATAATCTTCATTTATCTAAAGTGTATAACATCTTCATTGTCGATGGTAGTACTGGCACATCAAATAACGCATTTTTTCCCCGCAGACGCAATCCGTTGGACAAAACAGCCTGAGAAACCAACGATCCTGGAAGAAGGCCGTTCTTTAGTGCACCTTGTCTGGAAATTTCTGATTGAAGGAACCTCTGAAGGGGCCGAAATTCTTCGAGGTGTCACATTTCGAAGGCAAAGGGATGCTGGTGATTCACCAGTAGTTATTGCAAGCAACAGGAACGGAGGAGCTTTTACTGTTTTTCCGCAATTTCGTTCAAACTACAATGCCATAGTTCCAGCTACACTAATTCTGTTAAGAGCCGTGGCCAACGAGCCTGATTTCATCTACTCAATCGAGGTATCTTTCCTCAGAAATAATCTCCCTCAGCCGGGGTTTAGAGATGCAGTGCAAGTTATAGTTCGTGGTAAAGGCTCGTGTTTCTCCCGATTTCCACCATTTTCTTTCAAAACAGCATGTGAAACAACGATGTACGCTTTCATTCCCTTTCCTTTCAAGTCTAACTTATTGCGCCCTCTTTATTTTCATCATCTTGTAAAGAAAGCCATTACTCAAACCTTCCGTTAGTCAAATCGCGTTCTTTGTGAGAGTGATCTAAAACCAAACACACTTTAGATCACCTATGCCTATTTTTATCTCCCCTGAATCATTACGCTCCACGAGTCGGGACTGAAAAAGACAGCGTGAGTCGATCGGTGCAGCCACGCCTTTAAATATGGCAGATATTCGAAAGAGCACCGCGGTACTTGTTAAAGCACTGTTTGCGGAGGACTGTTTAGGGAAGCATGTCTATCCCCTGAAACTTCTCTTTCCAAATACTATAAGAGATCCTTTGTTCAAAATGATAAGAATAGCATAAAACCGTAATTAACTAACAAAAGTTAGCTTTCTCTTCAATTATGAATTATATATTGACCCTCGAGTATAGTCATCGTTTTGGTTTAATTCGACTCCCTTGAAGAACGGTTTTCGTGCCACATTTAACAAGCACTAACAAGTTGGAGGTCAGATATCATGATTTACTGAGATAACTCACTTTAAGAGTGAAACTTATATTGCCTTTTTCACTTTGGCCGAAACTTATGAATTTTCTTACACCGCGGGACAACCACGAAACACTTTGTGCTCTGGGCCAGAGAAACCACCGGAAACGTAGTTCCGATCAGCAAGAAACATGCATGAATCATCAACATAATAGAGTAACCAATACAGTCCAACATCTCTGTATAACGGATGCGGCAATAAATTGTTATCAAAACAGAATATTTGCCATAAAATACCTGAGAACCCAAATTAAAGTTCTATTTGTAACACGAAGATATATTTTTTAGCAACTACTATAATTTGCAGTCTGTCTACTTTGAATTTAATTTGTAATTGCATGGAGTGGATGGTATGGTGGACCGTTGAGTTTGGTACGTTTTCATAACGTAGCTGGCGTTTTTTGGGTGACACTAGCATGAAAACGGGCCTTGCGGGCTGCGAGTCTGATATCAAATCGTACCAATGTTCACTTAACCAATGCAAGACGTTCCTTGATGATTACATTCGTCATTTCCTTACCGCAAAAAAAATCAGGTTCCATCAATGCTTGACCATAACAGCTGAGCGATAACCCCACTTACACCCTTAGCAGAATATTGAATCACTGAAAACTCTCAGTAGACATATTATTCTATCTTGAGGAAATCATGATATCATTCTGAACGTGCACAGCGTTCATGATCAGTCAGCTCAGAATGATGCGCCTACAGGCTTTTCTACTACTGATTTTATGCCATATATATCCCTTCTTAATTGTGCATGTTGAAAATTGTTTTTCTTCAGCTGACCCAAGAGCCATAGTGGCTCTTGGCTGACCCTATCAGTAACGGCTTTTAAGTTGTGATCTTGACAGGGTGGAAAGCAAGCATGAAAATTAAATTAGAGCGTTTGTATGAGATTATAAATAATTTTTGTGAAAGTCTAGCCTAGCTCCAGAGGTCTGTTCTCGGAATATGTAGGTTAAAATAAACGCCTGGTGCTCACAGTTTGATTAGGCTCCCGAAATGGAACTCTGGTCACTCGAGCAAGTAATCTCGTTTCCATGCTAGAAATCAGTTCAGAATCTGAACTGAGTGTCGCCGATTAGTTACTCCCATGTCGGCCGCGAACTATCAGGAATAAGGTTAGAAAAAACAAAACCTCTAGCACCAAGGGAAGTGGGTAGCTTTTTAAAGGAAAAGGTAATGGCAGACTAAAAGTACTAACAAACAAAAATTGAGGGCCGAACTTGCTCTAGAATCGCTTCTTTAACTATTTTTTTTAAAAATAAAAAGTTAAAAAGCATTCTGGCATAATTTGTTTTTTGGTTCATTCGTTTTATGCTTTGCTGGCTAATTTTTTTGAAAAAATCTTTGTTATTTACAATAACATGTATTAATTGAAATACAAGTCTTCCTGCTTTCTCCATCAAGTGAATAAAAATCTTCATCACTTCTCCTTTTTAGCACGTTCATGCAGCCGCTATTTCGTTCTTGAGAGTTCTGACCGTAATGTGGCAAATACTGATCAAAAGAACTTGAGATGTGACCCGAGAGACCTGATCATGGGTGGTTATACCGACTGGTATCGTTTCAAAGGCGCAGCTGGCATCAGAATGCCAACATTCTGTGTACCAACACGGCGTTGTGGTACGCACGCGCCGGGTTGGCTTAACGGTTCACACCCATCAGTAAGAGAAGGCGTTGTCACTCGTCGAGTTTGTTACCACTGGGGTTCCAACTGTTGCAACTGGAAAAACGATATTCAGATCCAAAACTGTGGCGCTTTCTATGTGTATCGGTTAGTTAAGCCTCCTCTGTGTTATCTGCGGTACTGCGCTCACAATCAAAGTAAGTTTTTTTCTTTGCTTTCTCTCTAGCTGTTATCCAAAGAGTTCTTGCACCATTTACTTCAACTGGAACTGTACATTAATTCTGTTAGTTCTTTTGCATTTTCTTCCGTTATGAATTATTTAGCAATTAATGAACGAGGCTGAGTAGGAAATAAAGAATTAAGCAGATCGAGGAGGGTGTTATCGGATAACAGCCTCCGAGATCTGCTTAATTCTTCATATCCTACGAAAGCCGAATTCATTAATTGCTTTATTATTCATTCAAAATAATTCCTAGTTTAAAAACATAGCTAAAACATGCTTACCTGCGTCGATGCTAAGTTCATCTTCGATAGTTGGGGTGACGAATGGACTTTGCGAGCATTCGCGAGCATGCGAGCACTGCGATTTTTTTTGCGAGCACGAGGAGAGTTAAAAAATTTGCTTCGCGAGCAGCGAGCAGCTTAGACAGTACAACTCGCAAGCAGCGAGCACTTCTTATATTTTCCGCTTGCAGCAATCCATATGGAAATCCTTTTTTTTTTTAACAAAACAGAAAATATTTTAAAACGGTTTTTTTAAAACGGTGGTAGAACGTCTGTAGAAGGCCTTCATGATGTTCCATCCTCCGAGACTATTTCGGGAACAAGAATGACCCTGGAGGCTTTAAAACGAATTCAACGTGAAATAGAAGCTTTACATTGAGATTACGTGAGCAAGGTAAATGTGAAAGCCTTGGTGTCTCTTCTCATCGAGCATTTCAACTCAAACAAGAACAACCTCTTCTGGAAGAATCCTAAAGCTTCCAAACCGTTTTTATTGAAAACACGGCCTAATTAAAGCTCAGTGAGTAGAGCGGTAGAGACTGACTCAGAAGAATTAAAAGTAACAATATCTTCTCTTTTTAACCATATATAGCTAGATTAGCTTGTTTATTATTTACCGTCGTCATTTATCGCGTGCATTTCCACTGAACTTGATAGCCATATTTATAGGAATTAAGCACCATACAGAATTACATTTACTTTAACCCAAAGAAAGATTTACAAAATTTCGAGCAATACTGACAAGAGAACAAGCATGCGAGCAACTGCAGAAATTTGGGGAGCACGAGCAAGCGAGCACTCGTTTAAATTTTGCGAGCAAATCGAGCAAAGGTAAAATTTTGTGAGCAGTTAAAAATTTTAATGGACCATTCATCACCCCTGATAGTGTACGTTTCGGTTTGTCCAGCTCCGCAAATATTCTCCAAATAGCAGACGTCGCCCTCCGAGTTGTCTTCTTGCTGTTTTTGCAATGTTTTTAGCTATTGTTTCGCCTATTTCCGGCTGTAGTTCTTACCCTTGAAACGAGGGAAATGTCCGCCTTTTTTTGTCACAAGCAAAACAACTCAACCTACTTAACCTGTAGCGGGCTGCACTTTTGAGATCATTTCCTCCCAGTCGTTAAACACAAAATTATTTCAGATTTGGTCATCAGTAACTGGTTGTGGTGAATTATGCGTGTGCTTTTAGCCAATCAGAATTAGGGAAATATTTTGAATGAATAATAAACCCCTTTAATGAAACTGTACCGCCTGACTATTCCCAGAACGTTGTGTTGGGTGTATGGTTATGATTTGACGTTCCATCATTGGAACATAAATAACTAATTTTGGTCTTCTAAATAATTCATTTATCTATTTATTCATTTTCTAGCCTCTGTATCTTCGGTAACTCCCCCGTCCACAGGTAAATATAATTTTCACTTCCCAGTTTGGTGCATCAGAGTTATTTTAATATAAACACCACCAATGAAATACCAGGTGAGCTTTTGCGCGAAAACATGATATCTTCATGAAAATATCACCGTCAGCTATGGCTACATAATAAATCGCGCCTTTCGCAGGAAAAAAAACTGTTTCAGTGAAATGGTTTGGTATTTCATTGGTATTTATATAATAAATAGAACATTACATGACCGCTTGGAGATACGAAATTTCTCTTCAAGTGTTGAAAAATATTTCACTCGTGAAGTATTTTTCAACACTCGAAGAGAAATTTCGTATCTCCGCGCGGCCATGTAATATCCTCCATATATTTGTTAACAACACACAACTACTAATACGAGTTTATCGGAAAGCTTCAATTAAAACTTCTTTTGTAGAATCTTTTCCTCTTTTTAATGATCCTTGCTGTTTTATTGTTCAAAAACAACTGGAATTTTCTACTATCAGAGATCATCATTACCATTTTTAACATATGCATCATATTAGTGTAGTAAAAATAGTTTCAACTGCGAACGGTACGTAGTGATTCTTTCTTGATTAGATAGAGAAGTTTGTCTAAAGATATGAATCTCATCGAGAGGATGTTGCTTAAGAAAAACACCTAACAACAAATGAGACTGATTTGTTTGAAACGGTGGCGAGGGAGACAGGAAAATTAAAAATTTCCATACCTTGATAATGACGCAATGAAGCCGCCGAAACGTCGGGACATTATTTCGTTAGTTTTTACATTTAAATTGTTGAAAGTTGGTTTTCTTCAGCTGACCCAGTCAGTTTATGGTTATCAAGTGCGGTCTTTACAGATTGGCAAGCAAGGCGTGAAATGAAAGCGTCTATTTTTAACATGAGAATAATTTTTTGTTTTAACTACTGTCTAAGTTTTGCTAGATAACTCTAGTTTTTCAGCCCCCCCTCCTGATAATTATTGCACAGTCCCTTATAGGTCTCCGGAGGTCTGTTCTCGGAATAACTAGGATGAAGTAACCGTACTCACGGACCTCTGGTCATACGAGTAAGCTACCTCGCGTCCATGGGAGAGAAATCAGGTCATAACCTGAACTGGGTGTCGCCGATTGGTTACTCCCTTATCGGCCGCGAACTATCAGGAATTAGATGAAAATAAAAAAATAACCAGGCAGCAGCCATGGTAGTAAGATGTCTGGAAAGCTGAATTTGAAAAACAAGGAAGTCACAGACTTAACCAAATGTAAAGACCTGGACGCACATATTTACTTAAATAACAGGCGACAAAATTGTTAATGCATTGTTGGTGTTTTTGTGTTCCTCCAGCCCTATCAACGAGTCCAACCCCAAGTATCATTACAGCCTCGCCAGGTATTCACTAGTTAAGGGGGTGTTGACATGAGAAGACTCGCACTGGCACGAGATCACCCCGGAATGACTTCTTTATTTCCGTATCGCGTTTACAGGATGACTGGGTCATTTCATATCGCGTTTATATGAAGGTAGACTTCATTTTGATAAAATACACGTGCGATTTAAAATCGCAAATATTTCGCATACGCTACCCGTCCCAGTCTAGCGGTAGACCGATTTCACATCGTTCTGCTTTCCTGCGCTTATATGATATCGTTGAGAAATTTCTTACTGGAGTGAAATTCTCGCTCCGGTACAACAAGCGGGGTAAACTCAAGCCGGTGTGACTCGCGCCGTCGTGACATTTTGTGGTGGTATCATATACCGTAAAATTCCGAAAATAAGCGCCGGGGCTGATATTTTTCAAAGGCCCTTTTTGAGGGGCTTATTTTTGGAGGGGCTTATCTACGGAGGGATATTTACGTTTCAAAGTCGATTGGGCTAGCCTAATATAGTTGGAAGTAAATGTACCGTTTTTGCTTTGTTTTACTTTGTATTTGAGGGCAGTTTTTCCAAGTACAAGCCCCGGGTGGCTTATATCTGGAGGGGCGACTTAACGGAGGGTTTTTTGCGTTACCGGTTTGGGGGGCTTATATTTGGAGGGGCTTATACATGGAGGCGCTTATTTTCGGAATTTTACGGTAAGCAAATACAGAGCCACAAGAGGGAACCGGAGTGAACTCGCGCTGGTGCGAAAGTCACCCCAGTGTCATGTAAACAAGTTTGATTATATTAGCGGAGCACCATGGGTAAGTAAATCTACCCGTCCTGAGAAATTAGAAATGTTTACTCTCACACTTTCTAGCTACTTTGGGAGCCCAGGGAGCCCATGAGAAAACTGATTGCACATCAATATTGTTATCAATTGACAGCTGTCAGAACAAGGTATCCGCTGACCAGTATCACCTGACCGTATCTATCCAGGTCGAGTATTCTTTTGAAGTTATCCGCTGACAAGTTACTAGTTTTCAAATGATCGCAGGCTCATTTTTTAAAAATTCTTATGAAATATTTTGTGTTTATGTCACTATGGCCCAGCACTATTAACATTTTAATTTCAAAATGACCTCAGACGCGAAAATTCAGCCAGTTATTTAAAAATACAGGCGGGAAAGACAGATGCTTTTCACTTTTCTCACCATAGTCACGCGTTGATCACGCTCCACGTCCAATTTTATGCTCTGATTGGTCAAAATTTGACAGATGAGTTCATGCGGAAAATTTATGCAGCATCTTGGAACTTGTTGACTTTGACAGCTGAAGCTGACAGAGTTTTGTGTCAATTCAAGATGTTTTTATCTGTCTTTTTCCACTGGATGTACAAAATGAAATGCAGCTGCTATCAAGAGTCTTCTGTTATTCATGGCTGCTGGTTTGTTTATTGAATTTTTGGTTGAGGAATGCTCCGCTTGTCAAAGTCGGAAATCTGATTTCGGATAGCATCGTTTTTGTTTTTCACCTTGCTGGATGCGTAAGAGAATTATAAAGGCTCAAGCGATCCTGGCCTTACTTGATAGCTTTCAGGAGCTGCATCTCGAAATATGGTAAGCCTGAGTAATTCTTGTATTCATATCTAATGTCATGAAGTCGAGCACAGTTTATGAAGCTTGTTTATGCACGTTTGTATTTAAGACACTGATCTGACCTAGTATGAGGTTTGATATAAGGGTAGAGAACTTTAAAAAGCCTTTAGTCGATATTAATTCACCTGAGCCTGCGAGCAAGCTCTCCTATTTGGGCAAGCGAAGTGAGCCTCGCGAGAACGCGCGAGCGAGGGGCCTTTCCTCAGCCCCTCGCGGCTTCGCCGCTCGCAGTAGTCGCGCGTTCTCGAGAGAGTCGCTTCACTCGCCCAAATAGGAGAGCTTACTCGCAGGCTAAATTCACCGCAAATAGAAAGAAAAAACTTTCCGAAGATTATTTAGTTACAATTTTGGCTGTAGAAAGAAAGCTTTGAGC